CAGTGGGCTCTGTAGACCTCAGAACTCTCCAGGGGGTGGGACATGGGGAGCCCGGGAGCTTGGAGTCCTGACCAGGCCACAGTGCTAGGGGTAGGATTGCAGGGGAAGTTGCAGAAGGTTGCCTCTGTGGTCCCAGACAGGGAGACTGGCGCTGGGCAGATGCCTTTGGAGGGAAGCCCAACCAGTTCTCATCATTTTCCCACAAAACCCCATGCAGGCCAGGGGAGGAGAAGCATTCAGGGCTGGCTGACCCTTGGAGACAGCAGACTCAGCCTAGAAATAGAGGCAGTGGAAGGGTAAGGTGATTGCAGCCCTGTTTTTCTAAGCCCAAGATTCTGGGAGTGCCTGGCTCCAACGTCCCTGGGAGCAAGTGAGAGGCCTGTGCATCAGGGGTGCCAACCTCCAGCTAAGTGTGGCCCCAGGGTGCACCAGTTAGAGGCTTGTCTATGGGGGAAGGACGAGAATTCCCTTGAAGGGGACATTTGGTAACAAAGGTCCTTGCTGGGGCATGAGGTAAGGGAGTTGTCGCCTCCTAAAGTCGGCGGGCTCACTGTCTTCCCCTGAGCTCAGAGGTCCGGGGTCAGGGACAGGCACTGATCCCCTGCTCTGGGGTCAGAGCCTGAGGTCCAGTGTCTCCTCTTAGGAATGCAGATCCCAAGGCTGCACCTGGTTTGAAGGTGAGCAGAGATTGTGACTTTCCGTTGTTCATTTATTCAACAAACACTGCTTGAGAGCCTCCTGGGTGCCAGACAGGATGATGCATTCCGGGGCAGAGCTTCTCAGATGATCTGTGGGGAAAGACCACAGCTGGTTCTTTTTACTATGAGGGGTTGTTGTTGTTGTTGTTTAAGATGGAGTCTGACTCTCTCGCCCAGGCTGGAGTACAGTGGCACAATCTTAACTCATTGCAACCTCCGCTTCCCGGGTTCAAGTGATTCTCCTGACTCAGCCTCCTGAGTAGCTGGGACTACAGGTGCCTGCCACCACACCTGGCTGATTTTTAAATTTTTTATCCTTTTGTATTTTTAATAGAGTTGGGGTTTCACCATATTGGCAAAGTTGGTCTTGAACTCCTGACCTTGTGATCTGCCCGCCTCGGCTTCCCAAAGTGCTGGGATTACAGGCGTGAGATACTGCGCCTTGCAGTTTCTCATTTTAAATTTCTACTCCATCACGGCCTGATACATGGTGCTACTGCATGGAAACCCTTCACAGCGTGTGCCAGCTGGGACTCACCATGTGACTTTGACAAACCCAGATTGGTCTATAGTCCACCCGCATGCATGGAAGTGACTGCAGATTACCATAGGATTCTCCAAATGCTTACTCAATGCCTACACTGACCGCGTCTCAGAGTGATAGCTGCAGTGTGCGGCCATGCCTGCCCCTCCAGCAGCAGAGCCCTGGGACCCTGGTTCATTCATTCCATCCCAGCACTTTCAGGCACTGTTCCAGATGCAGTTGACACAGCAGTGAACCGAGCTGTCCCTGCTCTCATGGATGTTATATTCAGGTCAGGAAGACGGATCAAATGAATGAACAAATATATAGCGAGACAAGTTTTGACAACAGCTGAAAAGAAAAGTAAATCAGGCTAAGAAGATAGACAGCGGGGGAGTGTGAGGGCCAAGAAGGTGACATTCCAGTTGGGACCTGAAAGAAGAAAGTGCGTTGCGTGGCTATCAGGGGAAGAGCATTCCAGGCAGAGAGAACAGCAAGGGCGGAGGCCCTGAGCTGGAAATATTCTCAGCTGTGTCAGGGAAACACAGGCCCCTGGTGAAGGGGTATCAGAGTCACCATTTGGGGGGAGCTTTTCAAGCCATACAACCTCCCCTCACCCACCACCAGCTGCAGCTATGAGAAGCCTTCTTTAGAGAGTGACCCTGGCCCTCATGCCCAAATGCTGTTACTGATGGGGGAATGTCCCCTCTCTCCTGTTCTTGGGGCGGAGGAGCCACGGAGAATCCCCACAGTTAGGAACACACCTGAGAACGACATGGTCTCAAGGAGGCTGCAGTCTGGCAGAAGGCAGCAAAGAGCAGCCGAGGGTCACAGGGGATGGGGAGGACACAGAGCGGGTGCTCCCTGCGGGAGGTGGGGGGTCAGAGGGTTGTAACAGGCAAGAGGTCTACTTGGGCAGTGGGCTTCGGATACCCTCTAGGCGGAGGGGCCGGGGTGAGCAAACGTGAAAGCTGGCGGAGCTGGAGAGCTAGGGGACCCGCAAGTCATTCCATGTGAGTAACGGGGTGAGCAGCAGGCCAGTGGGGAGGCCAGAGGGATGAGCAGGGCTCATGTTATGGAGGACCTTGCATGCCACGGGCAGCATTTGGATTCTTCTGGTAAGTGTTGTGGAATCATTGAAGACTTGCAGGCAAGGCAGCAGCCAGGTCTGTAGGGAGAAGGCCTCAGGGCGGACATGTGGATGGCCTGAGGATCACTGCAGACAGGGAAGAGCAGGCAAGGGCGGGAACAGGCGAAGAGGCGGGGCTGGCTGCAGGAGGCGGTAGGGCTGGAATGGCCTGGATCTGCTGGACGCTGGGACCTGGGGAGAGCAAGAGGGAGGAGGAGTCCAGAAAGCCCCTGGGGGGTTCTGGCTTGGGCCACTGAGTGCCTTTGGCTGAGAGAGGGACACATGAGGAAGGGTAGCTCTATCAGGAGGTGGAGTTTTGTTTCCGACATGCTGAGTGTGAGATGGATCAGAGCCAAGCCCTAGTGACCGCTCACAGACGTGACAACAACAGCTCCGTGAAAACCAATAGAACATAATGGAAACCAGTAGGACACAGTGTAGGCAGAAAACAGACCTTCACCAAGAGCCAGGTGTCTCGTGAGAGTAGCTGTGATGGGTTCAGCATTCGGTGCATGCCAGACAAGGGCAGACGCTTACTTACAAGGTGCCATTTAATCCTCACCATGACTCCTCCAGGTGGCTCTCATTATCTCAGTTTTACAGATGAGAAAACCGAGGTTCACAGAGGCTTAGGAACTTGCCCAAGGCAGCCGAGCTGGTGAGAACCATCGCACCATACATCTACTGTCTCCCACCTGCCCATGGTGGACTCTGAGGGGTGTCACAGGAAATTGGGATGACTTTGATCTTGGGGAGACAGCCAGGTCTTACCCAGGGCATCCAGTCCGGAGCTTAATAAATATCTGTGGAATGACTAATCCCTCAGTTTTCCATGGATGACTGAGCCCAGGCTGCAGAGGCTGTCGGCCAACTCAGTGTGACATTGATGACACTGTTCCTATGATGCAAGAGTGGACATATCCCTCTTCCCTGTGATCCGGAACAAGGGCTCATGCTGTGCGCACAGAGAGGGATTGTATGGTACTGAGTTTTAATTCCAGGCATTCCAGGGTTGGACTGGAGGGAGTATGGTGGAAAGAGGCGGGCCTGGGAACTGGCAGGCTGAGGAAACTGAGTGACCTCATCCGAAGCCCACAGCCCCGGACAAGCTCTCTCCGAGCCAGGCTGCGGCCAGACAGGCAGCGGCAGGTGCAGGCAGTTTTCCGGTGCTCATGGCTGGCTGCCCAGCCTGTGAACACTGCAACTATTTCAGGGCCTGTTTTTCCTCGCCTCCACAGTGTGCTGATGGGGAGGGCCCCTGGTCCCAGGACATGCTTCCAGGGGTGTGAGCACTGGAGACTAATGGTGATGGGGGCTGGGATGTGGGGGTACAGACTCTGTTGTTGTGTGACTCCAGGAAGCACCAATCAGGAGGGATCTGTATACACACACACACACACCCCTCCTGGAGCTGAGCTGTGCTGCAGCCTGACCTAGGCGGCCGGCTGGGTCAGTGCCCCTCGGGAGGCTTTGCTTGGCTGGAGAGGTCTGGGAGCCAGAGCTCTTAGAAGCTGCCAAGCTAGGGTTCAGATGGCTGCAAAGAGAGCAGTTTCAGCCTGGAGTCCTGACAAGAGAGACCAGCTTTCTCAGTTAGAAATAGCTCTCGCCTGGGCCCAGAAGAGGGGAAGGGTGACGTGGCCAAGGATAGGGTAACTGAGAGGATCAGGCTATGAGGACAGGGCCTGGAGTGCCGGCAAGGCCTTTTGCAGGTGGGGCTGAGCTGAAACCTCAGCCTCGTACCTGTGCTCTCCCCATACGGTGAACCCGCACTCCACTCACCCTGCTAATAGTGTCATGCCCTTAAGGGACTGCCTAAAGGAAGCCCATGTGAGGGCAGCTGGGATGAGCAGGGAACCTGAAGGGAAAATGAATGAAAGAGCAACGCCGCCCAGCATCGGGAGTCCCGGGAGATCCACCCCCATCTCCTACCGTCCATCCCCTGCACGATGGGAGAAGAAAGGTGCCCAAACCAGAAACCACCTGGGGACTGTCATTTTGGGAACCTCAGATCCTTCATTTATTCAACCAATTCTAATCCCTGGAAGTCAAGTAATAAAAAAAAAAAAAGGACGAAAAATCCCCATGCTTCGTCCTGGTGTGGTGGTTCACGCCTGTAATCCAAGCACCTTGGAGGCTAAGGCAGGCGGATCACCTGAGGTTGGGAGTTCAAGGCCAGCCTGACCCACATGGTGAAACCCTGTCTTAAAAAAAAAAAAAAATCCCCATGCTTCATGGAGTTTATAACCTAGTGGGGAAAAGAGATAATGAACAAGATTCTATATATAATACATTATATATATATTTATTATAATATAATATATTTTTATATATGGTATTTAAGCTAAGGGTAAGTGCTAAGAAGACCAAATTAAGCAGAGTAGAGGACCATGAAATGCTGGAGATGCTTTGCATACACTTGGTGGCCAGAGAAGGCCTCAGTGAAGGAATTTTGAGTAAAGACCTGTGGAAAGTGAGGGAGTGGCAATGTGCGGGTGTGTAGGGGTGAAGGGGGTGAGCAACCCAGCGAGTGCAAATGTCCTGAGGCAGGTGTGCCTGAGCAGCAGCAGGGGCCCCAGCGTGGCTGCAGGGAAGGGAGCAAGGGCGCACTGAGAGAGCAAGAGGCAAGCTGTGACTGCGTTTGCCCCCACAGGAGAAGCTGGAGTATTTCTTCCTCATCGTCTTCTCAATTGAAGCCGCCATGAAGATCATCGCCTATGGGTTCTTGTTCCACCAGGACGCTTACCTACGCAGTGGCTGGAATGTGCTGGACTTCACCATTGTCTTCCTGGGGTGAGAGCTGGGTGTGGGGGACTGGAGGTCAGACCCTCTCTGAGGACTCTGTGCCCACTGCCACCACCACCAGCATCTCAGAGGAGGGGTGGGAATCCAGAGTCATACCAACTGCTGCATGGAGCAGCCTCTGTTAGAGGCCGGCCGGGCAAAGGTGCTGTCCATGTTGGTGGAGCAGGGACCATTGTCCCACCCCGCCTGCCAGTCCCAATCTCCTTCCCCGGCCAGATGCTATAAATTCCGCTCTCCTTCCCCCATCACACACTTTGGGAAATGATGTGGGTGGTTCCACTGGCCAGCGGTTTCCGGATGCTCCTAAGTTTCTCAGCCTCCGATGTTTATCAGTTTCTTCCACGCACGTGTACCGAGCACCTGTTATTTGGGTGCACAAAAACGGACACTTATTAGCCTGTATTAGTTTGCTAGGGCTGCCACAATAACACTCCACAGATTGGGAAGCCGAAGCAACAGGAATCCATTTCTCACAGTTCTGGGGCTGGAAGTTCAAGGTCGAGACGCGGGCAGGGTTGGGTTCATACGGTCTCTCCTCTGTGCGTGTGCACATCCTTCGCATGTCTTTGTGTCTAGAGTTCCTCTTCTTTTTTTTTTTTTTTTGAGACGGAGTTTCGCTCTTGTTACCCAGGCTGGAGTGCAATGGCGCGATCTCGGCTCACCGCAACCTCCGCCTCCTGGGTTCAGGCAATTCTCCTGCCTCAGCCTCCTGAGTAGCCGGGATTATAGGCACGCGCCACCATGCCCAGCTAATTTTTTTGTATTTTTAGTAGAGACAGGGTTTCACCATGTTGACCAGGTTGGTCTCGATCTCTCGACCTTGTGATCCACCCGCCTCGGCCTCCCAAAGTGCTGAGATTACAGGCTTGAGCCACCGCGCCCGGCTAGAGTTCCTCTTCTTATAAGGAGACCAGGCAAATGGGATGAGGGTCCCACCCAATAACCTCGTTTCATATTAGAGCCTGTTCAAACAGCGTGTCTCCAAATACAACCGCCTTCTGAGGTGCTGGGGGTTAGGGCTTCCGCACGTGAATTTGGAGGGAACGTAACTCTCCCCAAAGCATTACCATGAGTAACTACCATGTGCTGATAACAATAGCATTTGTCAAGCACTTAATATGTGCTTACACGTACCATCTCATTTAATTCTCCTCGTAATCCTGTTTTTCCTCATTTTATCAATAAGGAAGCTAAAGAACAGAAAAGCCAAGCAACTTGTCCAAGGTGACACAGGTAACTGGTGCCAGTGCTGGGATTCAAGCCCAAAGCAGTCTGGGCTCCAGAGGCTGCGTGCTTAGCCAGCATGCTGTCCTTCGGTTCTGTGAGGATGGTGTTGGTTACCTGCTGAGCATCCAGTGCTGCTTTCGGCTCAGTGGAGAAAATAGAAGAATTCTGTGAATCGGCCTCTGCCTTTTACAGACTGCCCCAGCTGGAAGCCAACCCAAATGCATACAGAATAGTAGAATGCAGAAAGCAATACCTCACAGTGCGTCATTGTTTCGTACGCAATGTGTCCCCGGGAGTTCTTCCGTCAGGAGGATTCGGAGGTGAAGGAATTTGAGGTAGATTTCAAAGGATAATGGAAATCTGAGCAAATTAAGAGAGGAAGAGGAGGCCAGCAGGAAAGAAAATAAAGGGCATTATCAAAACGTGCACACGGGAGGAAGAGCGCGGAGGGAGGACTTGCTGTGGATTTTCTTCTCTGGGTCGCCCCTGAGTGTGGTCAGGTAACCTCCAGCCCACGTGGGCGGTGCTCAGCCCCGGGCCAGCGACTACGCCTGTGGCACACATACCTCCACCCCGTTTGGCACCCAAAGTAGACCTCACAAGTGGGGCACGGTACTCTTTTCACTGAGTAGGCACTTGATGCCAGAATCCTTTTAAATGAAATTCCCTAGATAAGCATGACCAGATCATTGGTTGGCAGTTGGTGAACCGTGTTTGCTGTCTCTCCCCTAGACCTTTCCACAGGTGCCCCAGCATGGACAGGACACAGGGTCCCAGACCACCAGGGCAGTGGCTTTTCCAACCCCTGGACCCCTTCTCTCCCTTTTCTCCACTCTAGGGTCTTCACCGTGATTCTGGAACAGGTTAACGTCATCCAGAGCAACACGGCCCCAATGAGCAGCAAAGGAGCCGGCTTGGATGTCAAGGCTCTCAGAGCCTTCCGAGTGCTCAGACCTCTCCGACTGGTGTCGGGGGTGCCCAGTGGGTGACAGTGTCCCTGCAGACCCCGTTCTCCTCTCCCTTCCTGTTCCCTTGTCCCCAGTTCTGGGTCCCCTTCCTACCTTGACATCCCAGAGGCTTCCCCAGATCTGCGGGGAGGGAGCGCTGTGAGACCAAGTGCGGGGAAGGTGACCCCTCTTTCCCCCTCCCTGCTCACCTCTGCAGGCCTGCAGGTGGTCCTGAACTCCATCTTCAAGGCCATGCTCCCCCTGTTCCACATTGCCCTGCTGGTCCTCTTTATGGTCATCATCTATGCCATCATCGGGCTGGAGCTCTTCAAAGGCAAGATGCACAAAACCTGCTACTTCACTGGCACAGGTGAGCTCCCAGGGAAAATGGGGCTGTGGGAGAGGGCCTGGGACAGCTCAGAAGGGGGAGCCACCCCACCTGGTGAGGGAGCCCAGGGGTCGGCCATTGCCAACCGCACCTGTTGACCTTGGGAATGGGTTTCTCCTGGATAAGGGGAACTGGGAGGAAGGACAGCTCTGCTGGGTCAGTGAGCAAAGAAAGCGAGCAGGGGTCTGGGCCACGGCTTGTTCTGAAACACCCACATACAATGTAGTATCTTCCAGGCTCTCTGGGCCAGTGGCAGCTGGAGACACGGGCATGGGATAAGTCTGAATTTCTATGTGTACTTTCTCCTGTCACATAGTTTTAGCTTCAGTCTGAGCTGCCCCTCAGATCAGGCACCCAGAATAGAGTCTGAATGGGACCTCAGAAAAAACACCCAAGAGCCAAATGGGATCATCTGTTGAGTTTCCAGAAATAACCTACATCGAAGCCCAAATATACTTGAGCTGAACCAGCATTTCTCAGACTTTTCACCCTGAGGACCCCTTTTCAATGCTTATGAATTACTGAGGACCTCAGAGAGTTCTTGTTGATACCGGTCTGATCTGTTGATATTCATGGAATGAGAATGAAAACCAAGGAGCATGTCATGATGTGAATTTATTAATTCAGTTTTAAAGAACAGTAAGAAACTCGTGACAGGAGAACATAAATAGTATATTTCTAATAAAAAATGACTAGATTTTCCAAAACCAGTAATATTTGGTGAGAAGAGTGGGGACGCTATTTTACGCTTTTTGTAAATCTCTTCAATGCCTCGCTTGATAGAGGCTGCTGGTCTGCGTGTGTGTGCTGCCACATCACACCCGTGTAGCCTCTGGAAAATTGCAGTCTACATTGTTCAGAGACTGGGAGACAGATGGGCAACTCCCGTCTTAACAGTATTGTGAAAGTCATTTCGGCCAGGCCGACATCCTCAAAGAGTCTCGAGTCCCACTCTGAGACTGGCTGCTCTACCCTGCCAGCAGCTCGCCAGGCCTTAGCCTCCTCCATGAGCCCGGGCATTTAACTCACCAGAGTAACTCTCCTTGACCTTCAGCTTCTCAGGAGACTCAACTCATCTCCTCACGCCCACTGACAACAGAGAGACAGTCAACGCCAGTCCCAAGCCCCATTCATAAGAGTAAACTCTGATCCAGCTTTCAGGGGTTACGTTCTTAGACCCTCCTATTTCAGCCTCTTCCCATCACCACCACAATCTACATCCCATAATAAGCATGACCAGGATGGATAGGAGGGGTCATTCAATCACACCTTGAACCCAAATTTGGAGGTCTCACTGGTGTTCTCGGGAGATCTTGAGGAACGCTGAGCAGCAGTGCTCAAAAGCGCCTCTTGGATGGGGGCTTCCGACTTCATGGGATCAGGGCCCCCGCAGGACATCAGTGTCCTCTCCTTTCCATCTTCAGAGCATTGAGCCTACACAGCAAATATGGGTAAGGCAGAGTGTTCCAGTTCTGCTGAGCCAATCTAATCTCGGAACACAAAAGGAGACGGTAAAACATCCTAAGATAAAAGGGGATGCAGGATGTCACAGAAGTGCAGGATTTTCGAGACAAGAAAGCACCATCCAGGGGAACAAAGCAGGGTGCAGGCTCGGGCCTGGCAGGAACTTCCTGAGTGCAGACCCCTGCCCCATCAGCTGGGTGTCCTGTACAGCCCAGCCCAGGACTGCGGGAGCTTCTCCAATTTCACCTCCCAGACAGAACTCTCAAGTCAGAACGCGTGAGCCCTCCACCTCCAGCCCCACTCCAGCCAGGCAGCTGCCTCCTTTTTTAAAGTTCTATGGGGACAAACGACACTCAGATTATTCCTCTTTCATGGGTTGCACTGCATAGGACAATTAGTCCTAGAAGCAGACCCTGCCATGAGACCTGGGGACCCAAGACATAATTCCTGCTGCCTGTAGCCATCCTCAGCCCCAGACACTCCTCTTCACTGTCACCATCTGCTCCGTGCGAAGCTGTCTTTTGCACTTTCGATTGATTCTCTCGGACTGCTCCTGACACCTTCCCTACTGTCACTGCCCACCTACTACTGTTGTCTGATGCTCGCTCTGCCTTCTGCCTCCAGATATCATGGCCACGGTGGAGAATGAGGAGCCATCACCCTGCGCCAGGACGGGCTCAGGGCGCCGGTGCACCATCAACGGCAGTGAGTGCCGAGGCGGCTGGCCAGGGCCCAACCACGGCATCACCCACTTCGACAACTTCGGCTTCTCCATGCTCACCGTGTACCAGTGCATCACCATGGAGGGATGGACTGACGTCCTTTACTGGGTGGGTCTGGGCTTGCACCTGCTGGAACTGTCTCCCTTCATCCACAGGCTTGCAAGGGAGTGGGGAGGGAGAGCTTGCCAGTCCACACCGGAGGCCAGACTCTGACTTGAGTGACCACAGCTCCCTCTTGCTCCTCCCTGGGGTATCTATACAGGATGTGAGGCCCCTTCTTGTTACCAGGTATGTGCCCTAGCATCCTATGGGGAAGTCCTCATGAGACGGTATGTCTGTGCAGGATCCGAGGGGCAGGTGAAGAACGGAAACCAGGAAACACCTGGCTGTGAGAGACTGCGCTCTGATGGCTTCAAATTTCAGACCTTTTGAGGGATGAAGGGCCTTTTGAGTCTTTTTCTCTGCCTCTGCAAGACTCCTTTCCCATAAAAGTGCTATTAGATGCTAGTTTCCTCCACCATAAAATAAGGATAATAATACTGTCTATATCAGAGTTAGTGGGAGGATTAACTGAATTAGAACAGTGCCTGGCACATAGTCAACACTTTATAATAGAGTTTCTTTGTTGGAGTATAGTATTTATTTGGTGTTTGTTAAGAGATTTCTTATTTCATCCTTCAATGATGGAAGACATTGCTCCTATTTTACAGATAAGGAAACTGAGGCTCAGAGAGATTAAAGTAAGTTTCCCACAGTTAAGAACTTAGTGAGCAACAGAGCCAAGAATTAAACTCTGATCCCCCTGGCTCCAATCTGGAATTAACCGCAATACGATGCTGCCTATGAGTGGAAAATTGTACAAGTGTCAAATGCTTTGCAAATATAAAGGATTAGTATAAATATTTATTGTAAGTGTGCATTGGGGAGCAAATTATTTAAAATGTCAAAGGACTGTCACATGTATGATTTCACCTCTGTTTCAAGCCTGTGAGGAGAGAGAGCCCATGTCATTCTCGCTGTTCAACAGACGGGAATAATGCTCAGAGATGTTAGGTGACTTGTCCAGGGTCACAGAGGTTGTTCATTTGAACAAATCTTGGCTTTAAATAAATCAACTGGAGATAGAGTCCATGAGAGAGGTCAAGTGAGAGAGGCAGGTAGGAGACACTCTCGGTCGGAGGGAAAATGGGTCAGTCTTGGCCCGGCTAGGTGGGCAATCAGCAAGGTCTCCCTGGGGAGATGCTTCCAGACCAGATCCTAGTCCTCAGGCTGGAAAAGTCCTTCCTGGCTAGTCCTCAGGCTGGGGAAGAAAGTCCCGTCACTGTCCCCGGATGGCTTCTCTCCTTGTCCCCCAGGGTTGGGTGGAGTCTTCATGAGCAGACTTGGTGAAGGGGAGCCAAGCCCTCAACTCAGAGGATCACACCCCTGCCCCCACCAGGTCAATGATGCCATCGGCAATGAGTGGCCCTGGATCTATTTTGTCACCCTCATTCTGCTGGGATCCTTCTTCATCCTCAACCTGGTGCTGGGCGTCCTGAGTGGGTAAGAGTTCAAAGGCAGCTGGTGGCGGGGGGGAGGGTGGGAGGAAGAGGAGGAGGGAGAGGAGGAGGAGGAAGGAGAAGGAAACGAGGGACAAGAAACAGGAGGGGTGGGGGGAAGAGGAGAAGGGGAGAAAGGAGTGGAGCAGGGCGGGGGCTGTGGGTCAGGTCCTTGACTCAACCCTGGGTTCCCTCTAACCTCAGCTGGGGCAAGAGTGCTTCCTTCCTGGGGAGCAGGAAAGAGAGGAGACGCAGGCAGGAGCCGTCCCATTTTTAGTTTCCCTTTCTCCTCCTCCTCAAGTCCTCCCCCATTCTCGCCCTTCCTGTCCCTCTGCTTTGACACTGAAGCCCCTGAGGCTCCAGCCTCCCGGCACCAAGAGGCAGCGGAGCTTTTGGTTAAGCACACGGACTCTGGCGCTAGAATGCTGTGTGACCTTCACCTAATTACCTAGCTTCTCTGTGCCTTAATTTCTGTCTGCCAAATAAGAATTCTTTCAGTATCTATCTCATAGGGTTCTTGGGAGGATTAAATAAGGTAATACGTATAGAGTACTTAGAACAGAGTCCAGCACACCATAAGCACTAAGTACGAACGGTCGTGATTCATGAGAGCCGTTCTCTTTGAGACAGTCCTGCTGCTGCTGTCGTCCACCCACCCCAGCATAAAGGAGAGGCTGGAAGTTGCCATCAGCCTTCTTCCCCCTGGGTGTTACTCCGTTCCAGAAGCTTCCCTCCAGGCAGTCTGTAGATAGAATTCAGGGGTCTGTGAAGTCGGATAGAAAACGTGTATCTTTATTTTTTACAACTGTAACTGAAATTTAGTGTTTCCTTCAGTAATAAACACAGGCAACAAACCGCAGTGCTATTAGCAGGGCCCGTGACTTGTCCTCTTAGAAATCTTGTCACCTTACATCCTGAATAGTATTTACACGAATCACTCCGTACTTTGAAATTATGATCGTCAGACCTGCAGCTGAATCTTGCTAGTTAATGAGTGAATGAAAAAGCACATGTACCACTCCATCCCAATTTTTTTGCATTTTAACAATGACATTTTAACATACGGTCATCTGCTGCATGATGACAATTCCGTCAATGAATGACAGGCTGCAGACACAACAGTGGTGCGCTAGGATTGTACCGCATTGTTACTGTACCTTTTCCATGTTTAGCTGTGTTGAGATCCACAGATACTTGCAGTTGCCTAGAGTATGCGGCATAGTGTACAGTATGCATGCTGGCCAGCTTTGTAGCCTGGGAGCCACAGGCTATGCCACGCAGCCCAGATGTGCAGTGGGCTCTCCCATCTGGGTGTGTGTATGCACGCTCTCGATGTCTACACACAGATGAAGTCGCCTAGTGATGCCCTTCTCAGAACATAGGCCAGTTATTAAGTGAAGCCTGGCTGTAATTGGCGTCTCTGACCCACTATGGTTTTATTTTATGCATTTCACATTATTCTGAGGAGTGATCCATAGGCTTCACTGGACTTTCAAAGAGTCTGTGGCACGAACTGGTCACGAGCCCCTGCCTGGACCCCGCCTGGCCCAGGCGACGCCACCTGTCCTGTGGGCCGACCCCTCCTGGCCACTGGGCACAGCTCCTCAGAGCCCATGCCCACGCTGCCATCTTCCCCTGTCCCACCGAGTCCTGCCTGGTGGCTCAGGGCTGCCCTCTGCTGGCCCGAAGGTCCCTCGCGGAGCCTCCGGACCTTTTCTCCAGCCCTGCCACTGTGCTGCTTGGAGTCCCAGGAGGATTTTCTCCAGGCCTTTGGTCCATACAAAACTAAATTTTTAAGGTAGCTTGAAAGGTTGGTGTGGCCAATTGGGGGCTCCATGGATGATTCAGTTAGGCAATGGACTGCCTTGTCATGAACCTCTAGTGTCCAAGGGGAACCCCAGAACAAGGCAGGAGACACTGAGATGGATGAGGAGAAACGAGGAAGGGACAGGGAGTGCTCCGGGGCGTTCCTGGAGAGTGGGGAGAGGTGAGCGGGCAGGGAGAGGGGCTGCTCCTCAGCCACCTTGAGGGGCACCTGGACTCCCGGCAACACCCCAGGGCCCAAAAAAGCAGCACTCCAGCCACAGAATGTGCTTGTCTCCCCCCAGGAAGCCCAGTCTTTCCCCAGCCCTGTTTTTCCTTCTCCTCCCCTCCTGGGATCCCCATCCCATTTAGGGAATTCACCAAGGAGCGGGAGAAGGCCAAGTCCAGGGGAACCTTCCAGAAGCTCCGGGAGAAGCAGCAGCTGGATGAGGACCTTCGGGGCTACATGAGCTGGATCACGCAGGGCGAGGTCATGGACGTTGAGGACTTCAGAGAAGGTTTGGGCCCAAAGGCGTGGTCAGTACTCACCCCACCTTCTCATTCCCACCTCTAAGCTGCACCTTGCCTGCGGGCTCCATGGACAGCACTACCTCATTTAACCCCAGCAGGCCTGGGAGACCCAGTGAACAAGCCCGACGTTAGCCCTTTAGGGTAACTGACTTGCCTAAAGCAAAATGGCTCAAAATGATAAGATCCAGGTGTGACCAGAACTCTTCCCATAGGTGCAGGCTGCCCTCCTCATGGCTCTGAGGCTGCAGATAAAGTGGGCTTTTTGGCCGAGCACAGTGGCTCACACCTGTAAGCCACTGCGCTCGGCCAAAGAGCAGATCATGAGGTCGGGAGTTCGAGACCAGCCTGACCAAGATGGTGAAACCCTGTCTCTACTAAACATACAAAAATCAACTGGACTTTGTGGTGTCTGCCTGTAAGCCCAACTACTCATGAGGCTGAGACAGGAGAACTGCTTGAACCCGGGAGGTGTAGGTTGCAGTGAGCCAAGATCACGCCACTGCACTCCAGCCTGGGCGATGGAGCGAGACTCCATCTGAAAACAAACAAACAAACAAACAAACAACAACAACAAAAAAAACTGGGCTCTTTAGCACTTGGGAATCTCAGTTTCTGGAAAGCACAAAGAAATCCAGGCCTACCCAGGACCCACTGTCACAGATGTCTCTGGTCAACGGGTCCTTGTCTTGGTTGCCCAGGTGTGTCCAACACAGAGGGATCCTGAAGGCTGGCTGACTCTTTCTCTCCTGTCTCCAGGAAAGCTGTCTTTGGATGAAGGTGGCTCTGACACGGAGAGCCTATATGAAATTGCGGGCTTGAACAAAGTCATCCAGTTCATGTGAGTATCTGCCCACCGCCCCAGGAAACCCCCCGCCCCCAGCTCTCTGAGACACAAGGGTAGAGTCCAGCTACTTCCCCTCGGTGGCTTCAGAGTCGCTTGTGTAACCCTTTAGAAAGGCAGCCTCCGCAGGGACCAGATCCTCAGGGAATATGCGATCAGATGGGTCCTGAGCAGATGACATATTTACGTAGCACGTAAGAAGGACACTGGGAGCCTCCAGCGCAGTGAGCATGCTTGGGGCTGCACTCTGATCCGGGCGAAGCTGGGTGAGGTCATTCATGCTGGTCATTCCCTCTGCGAGGGAAGAGGGAAGGCACGTGGCAGAGGCTGCACGAACCAGGAGCCCCTCAGGAAGGAGGCCGGAGACAAGAGCACCCGCCACGCTCTCTCGCCTTTGTCTTAAGAGGAGGGCTGGTTTGTTTGGTTGGCTGTTTCCTGTTATAAATTCACACTTAATTATAATTTTAAGGATCAAACACTAGAGACAAACATCAAAGAAAAGATGAAGGTCCCCAGTGCCCTTCAAAGAGGTAACCATGGTAACAGACATGTATGCCTCGAAGACCTTTTCTGTGCACTCATCTCCCTTCGCATGCGCACACACGCACACACATACACGTGCCAGGATTTTTTTGTTTTTGTTTTGATTTTTTTACATCAGGGGGTTGTTTATGTTCACTGCTGTCACTGCAGGGACTAGAACAGCGCTTAGCACATAGGAGGTGTTGCCAAATGTTTGTCAAACAAATGAATACAATATACACTAAAGGATAATCCATTAAAGGATTACCTAGTGACTTACATTTTTTTAACTTAAAATTATCTATTGAGAGCAATTTTCACAAGAGTCACTTTCTTTTTGTGTATCTTTGGATATAAAATATTCCACGGGATGAATACATCGCAACGTAGTTCACCCTTCCCCTCTTTGGCAATGCAAACAGTGCCGCAGGGAGCAGCTGTGCATGAATATGACCATTTCTGCCGAGGGAACTCTAGAAATAGAATTGCTGGGTCACAGGGTATAGCTACTCCCAGCTCCTCGGGAAGCTGAGGTGGGAGGATCACTTGAGCACAAGAGTTCAAGTCCCGTCTAGGCAACCTAGCAAGACCTATCTAAATAAATAACTAATAAAACAATAAATAGAGCATATCGATTTTAAATTTTGGTAAGTGCTGCCAATTCATCCCAAAAAGATTGTTCTATTGAAGCTCATGTCCCCACACTCCCCCACCAGATATTAATTTGTTGAAGAGTGGTCTTTGATAATGGGCGAAATGTGGTATCCCAGAGTTTCTTTAATTAAAATTAAACCACATGGAGCGCCTGCTCCTTGCCGGGCACTCGGGGTAAGCATTTCACGTGCATCCTCTCATTCCATTGCTGGGAGGTTTGCCCTGCTGTTGCTCTTCTGTGAAAGCTGGAGGGTTTTACTGTCTGGCTCTCCAGCCCATGCCGTGAGCTCCTTTCATGTGACTGGAGGAAGAGGGTGGTCAGGCTACGCAGGGCTGGAGTGTGTCTGAAGGCAGCTTGGAAAGGTGGGGTGTGGAGCAGCCATCCTCTGTCCCCTCCCTCAGCCGGCACTGGAGGCAGTGGAACCGCATCTTTCGCTGGAAGTGCCACGACATTGTGAAGTCCAAGATCTTCTACTGGCTGGTGATTCTTGTCGTTGCCCTCAACACCCTGTCTATCGCCTCAGAGCACCACAACCAGCCTCTCTGGCTGACCCACTTGCAAGGTAAGGAGGGATGGACTGAAGCCAGGAGGAGGGCAGACGTGGCTGTGGCTGAATGCCAAAATCGGCCAGTGGCACCGAAGGTTTTACAGAAGAGGTCGATTAGATATCAACATCATTTTCTAAAAATTATGGACCATGAGTGCTGGATTATATAACCTAATCCGCTCCTTTCACAAGGGAAAAAGAGCCCTCAAGTGGCAGAGCCACATACCCAACTTTCTTCTTCCTGGCCTTGTCACTTATCGAGGGCAGTAAAAGCAATCGGTTGGGACAGGTGCTTGCCCAGGTGTCCAGGCAGATTATTCCAACCACAGATCACTGGACATAAAATTGCTAGTAATTTGGAACTCTAAGCACTCAAGTTCACATTCTGCTACAAAAACAGCAGTCTGTCACCAGCTACTTACTGAGTGCATCCTGTGTGTAAGGCACAGGAAAATAACTCAGGATACAGAGAACACTAATACACTGCTCCTGGCTTCAAGGAGCTTAGTTGGCCAGAAGGGAGACCGATGTTAATAAATAATTCCGAGTCAATACAAGGAGGGCAATGACAAGAGTTAAATACAAGGGAGCCGCAAGAGGAGAATCACAGAAGAGATGCTGGCGCTCTGTGGATCTTAAGGGATAGCTAGACAAGCCCCAGGCAGTCACAGGGAGGAGGGGGTCCTGCAGAAGGAACAGCGTGCGCAAAGATATGAAGATGTGCAACAGCTTCGTGAATTCAGGAAGCCGTAGAACTTTATGTGTGTCTAAGAGAGCAATAGAGATCCTGAGCCTAGACAGTAAGAGTTGTGTTTGCTCACGGGGGCCTTGTGTTAGGCCATTCTTGCATTGCTGTAAGAAACTGCCTGAGACTCAGTAATTTATAAAGAAAAGAGGTTTGGGTGCATCACAGCTCCGCAGGCTTCACAGCAAACATGGGCTGGCACCTGCTCGGCTTCCAAAGAGGCCTCAGGAAGCCTGCAATCATGGTGGAAGGCAAAGGTAGGGCAGGCACGTCACACGGTGAAAGCAGGAGCAAGAGGGAGAGCGGAGGGGAGGTGCCACACGCTTTTAAATGACAGGTTTTGTGGTGAACTCAGAGTAAGCTCACTTACCACCAAAGAAACGGCCCGAGCCATTCATGAGGAATCCCCCCCAACCCCACCACCAGGCCCCAGCTCCAGCATTGGGGATTACATTTCAACATGAGAGCTGGGCAGGGATATCAACCCAAACACCATCAGGCCTTCTCTGTTAATCAAGTGTTGGACTTTACACTTGAGGCCATGGAAAGCCAATGAGAAGGTAAAAGCAGGAAATGATGTGATCAGACTTGAGTCTTGGAGAGCTCAGACTTGGTGGCAGGTGAATGAGTCGGCCTTGTTGGTGTGGTAGATATTCCCCTGGGCATGGAGCTCTGGACCGGGAGAGGAGTGGGGTCTGAGGAAAGGAGGGCCGGTTCCAACGACACCGTGCACGCACTAAGGGCCCCACCACCACAAACACAACGACGCTGCATGAGGCATCATAACGGCGTTTCCTGGAAGGAAAAGGAAGTCTCTGGGTGGCCGAAACAAAGCAGTGAGCCAAAGCCGGAGCAGCGAGCTTGTGAGCTGACTTCCAAGGACATTTGAGACCTAGGCCTAAACCCTAATGGGCAGCAGCTGGGTTCCTGAGGCCCGTGCAGGGCTGGCGACAGGGCCCTGGACCTGCGTGGGGTGGGAACTGGAACGGCACAGCTGCATAGAGCCATGGCCCTAGAGAGGCTGCCCCCATGGACGGGAAGCAAAAAGTCACTGGGCCAGGGAGCGAGCTCAGAAGTTTATTCCCGCTAGAGGCCCGAGGAGAAAGGAAACATGTCTCGAGTGAAAAATCAAAATCCTGTCAGTGCCTTGTATAGGTAGGGGGACCAATATGCTCAACCTCTCATGGTCCGAGGATCCTAAGCTAAGATAGCAGTGTAAAAATCAAGTTGCAAACAAGTAAAATCCCTGGGGTACCCAACAAAAGCAAACATAAGCCATTCTTTAAGGACGCTTCTTAATCGAAGGCACGTAGCATTCCTGCAGGGAAGAGTGTTTCCTGAAGATGAGCTCACAATTTAAAACAAAACAAAAAAAAATCCCTGAAAACCAAAGAAGCAACAGAGCCACCCTGAGAAAGAGTCGTCAGGTACAACCAACGGAAGCTGGCAGCTCCGGACCTGAGAACAGCACAAAGGAGACCTTTTTAAATGAGGAAAGAGGTAAAAGAAGGAAATATACAGAGAACGAGATTGTCTTTTTCTATGGGAATGAAATAGGAAACAAAGCTAGTTCTAAGTTACCAGCTGAATTCATTCATTCATTCATTCATTCATTTCAACCAGTCTTCTTGAGAGCACCTTGAATGTGCCAATCATTGTCAAAGCACTGTCAATGACCAAATGTGGAGATGACGTGAACACTGCCCACCAAGAGGAGTCAGGGGTGATTTCAAGGTTTGTAGCCCATGCAGATAAATGGGTAGTAGTGCCACCTATTGAGAAAATGGTTAATGATCGAGTATTTTGGGTAGCAGGGGAGGATGGGCAATGTCCATGAGCTTCGCCTTGGCGATGGTGAGTTTGATGTGCCTTTGAGACATCCCAATGGATATGTCAAGGAAGCAGATGGATAAATAGATCTGGAACTCAGCAGAGTGGTCTCAGTTGAAAAATTAAATCTGAGAGGCATTGGCGGGAATGGTCTGAAGCTGTGATAACACCAGATCCCCAGGGCAGAGTGTATACTCAATGGTATGACTCAAATCAAGCATTCAATGACGTGCTGTTTTATCCTGCTGAACCCTCAGCTGGAATTGCCCCAAAAGTAGTGGTAGGGGAATTCTCACAAAGGACTACCCCAAAAACCCTGAGGGTTGTGATTCCAAGGAAAGAAGCACTAAACGCCAGGGTAGTCAATCCAAAGCTGTTATTGGGGAAACTCACGACAGAATGCTGCAGGAATCCTCGCGATGGACAGCAAGAGAAAAGTGTTCTACCTCAGTTTCTCCACAGCCACAGGGTCAGGGCATGGACTTTATATAAGGGTTTAAGGAATCTGGCTCAGAGCTGTAGCCAGTTCTTGTCAATGTTTGGGGCAACACCTATTGGCTTTATCAGCACCTAGGAATGTTCAAAGTCCCGCGTTGAGGTCCAGCCTGCTGAGAAAAACCTGTAGCTGCAGGGCACACAGTGGTCAAGGCACTCTGATTTTCAGTCGGGACACAGAAACAAAGTGTCAGGGTGGAGGTGGGGGAACTGGAAGACCCTATTCTTGCTGATATAAAGAATGCACCTGTAGAGGAGGCTTAGGAAAATACAGAGAAGTACAGGAAACCCAGAAGGATGTGACACTGCAGAAGCCAAGGACGGAATGCTTGAGAAAGCAAGACGGTGGGCCACAGTGCCCAGTGCTGCCGGGAGGTCAGGAGCAGGGGGTTAGATCAGCATTAGATGTGGCAGATTGATGCCCCTGGAGAGAATTGTGTTGGTGAAGCGGTGAGGGCGTGTCCAGGTAGGAATGAGGTGAAGAGCAAATGGCGCAGGGCAAGGGGTGAAGAGAGCAGTATAGACAACTCTTCTGGGAACTTGATGGTGACAGGGAGGAGAGAGCAAGGACAGGAGATAGAGGGAAAATGGGAGAGACTTGGGCTTTTAAGGACGGCAAAGGGGCCGGGCGCGGTGGCTCACGCCTGTAATCCCAGCACTTTGGGAGTCTGAGGCAGGCAGATCACAAGGTCAGGAGATCAAAACCATCCTGGCTAACACAGTGAAACCCCATCTCTACTGGAAAAAAAAAAAAAAAAAGATTAGCCAGGCGTAGTGGCGCTTGCCTGTAGTGCCAGCTACTCGGGAGGTTGAGGCAGGAGAATCGCTTGAACTCAGGAGGTGGAGGTTGCAGTGAGCCAAGTTCGAGCCATGGCACTCCAGCCTGGGTGACAAAGTGAGACTCTGTCTAAAAAAAAAAAAAAAAAAAAGAATGGCAAAGGGAGGGTCCATTTGAAGGAAGAATTTAAATATATAGGGGAAAAAAAAGGATCATGGACAGGGAGCTTCCCGCAAAGGAGGAAGGATTGGCTTCGGGTACGTGGTGAGACCCTTCTCTATCAGGAGGGAGGGAGGCGTATAGGAATGAGAGTAGCAGACTTCGTGAACTTCAGTAGAATCAAAAGTAATAAGATCCTCTTTCTGTTAAATATGAGTTAGCTTGCAAGAAATCAATGGGCAACATTCATCAGGTTTCTTTTTAAGTTAATTAAAAAATTTGCTGGCCACAGTGGTTCACACCTGTAATCCCAGCATTTTGGAAGGCTGAGGACAGTAGATTGCTTGAGCCCAGGAGTTCAAGACCAACCTGGGCAACAGGAATGAAACCCTGTCTCTACTAAAAATACAAAAAATTATCTGGATGTGGTGGCACATGCCGGTGGGGTGGAGGATCACTTGATCCTGGGAATTCAAGGCTGCAGTGTGCCACGATTGTGCCACTTCACTCCAGTCTGGGCAGCATGAGGCCCTATCCCCCGAGCCCACCCCCAGAAATCCATGGTGCCTTGGAAACAAGGAAATAAGGGAAGAGGTGTCCTGGGTTGAGGCCCAGACAAGGCCAAAGCTGGGAGGCGGGAGAAGGGAAGGAGAGTGATGCCAGGGCTGTGCCACCAACCCTGCAGACATCGCCAACCGGGTGCTGCTCTCCCTCTTCACCATCGAGATGCTGATGAAGATGTACGGGCTGGGCCTGCGCCAGTACTTCATGTCCATCTTCAACCGCTTCGACTGCTTCGTGGTGTGCAGCGGCATCCTGGAGGTCCTGCTGGTGGAGGCGGGCGCCATGACGCCCCTAGGCATCTCCGTGCTTCGCTGCATCCGCCTCCTGAGGATCTTCAAGATCACCAAGTGAGCGCCAGGGTCGGCTGGCACTCTGGGGTCCCCCGTGGGCACCACAGCCCGGTCTGGTCTACACTCGTCTCATTTCCCAGGGTCTGGGATCTGTGCAGGTTCACCAGCGGCCCCTTGCCCGGACTTCCCTCCCTCCTTGAAATAACCTCCTTCTGTGAAAAAGGAATCACTTCCCCACTTTGAACTCATTTCTCTGTTCTTTTCTTACCACAGTCTATGGCAGGGCAGGGAGAAGGGGTGGTGGAAAAGAGAAAGGAAGAAGAGAAAAGACGGGAAGAAGGAAGGCGGACAGAAGAGCTGTAGGGAAAGGGGTGGAAACAAGAAAGAAGGAGGGACACAGAGAATCGGGGCCTTTGCGAGGTGGCTAGGGAAGGGGAGTTGGGTCCATCTGCTTGCGGTACTTATCCAGCACCCGCGTGAGCTGGGTACTGTGCTGAGCACAGGGCATCGGGGGTGTGCAGGAGAGAAGCCGTCCTTACTCTCACGGAGTTTCTCGTCCAGCAATGGGACCTAAAGTTAATCAACAGTCATATTAGCGAGTGTGAAATTACAAACAGGAAAGTGCTCTGAGGAAGGAGAGGGTGGGCACGCAGCCACGACTCCAGGGCCTTCCAGCCCCCTCCTTCTGTGTCACCTCAGTCCTGAGCCTTCCCCCAGGTCTGTCCACACCCCATGGGCCCCAGTGAGAGGGTCTGTCCCCTCCCTGCTTGCGGCTCCTCCTCCTTCAGGTACTGGACGTCGCTGAGCAACCTGGTGGCGTCCCTGCTGAACTCCATCCGCTCCATCGCCTCGCTGCTGCTGCTGCTCTTCCTCTTCATCGTCATCTTCGCCCTCCTGGGCATGCAGCTCTTTGGGGGCAGGTATGACTTTGAGGACACAGAAGTGCGGCGCAGCAACTTCGACAACTTTCCCCAGGCCCTCATCAGCGTCTTCCAGGTAGGCTAGCTCTCTGCGTGTCCCTCCTCTGTGCAGTTGCTGAATCCTGCTCCTTGTCCTTCAAGGTCAAGGTGGGCATCACCTCCTCCAGGAAGCCTTCTCTGATCTCCTGGTTGAGTACAATGTCCTTCTCTGAGTTCCCCTATCACCTGTGCTTCTCTCCACTGTAACACTTGTGTGTCCCCTTCACTGCGTCTGCACCCACTTTGTCTGATTAGTCTCTGTTTCTGGCACCCAGCACAGGGCTGGCCTGCTGCGGGATAACATGACTGCTTTAGGGACGGCCTGGGAGTCCAGATGTGAGCTTTCTCTCCCATGTGTTACTCACGTCTCAGGCCAAAGTCAGATAAGGGAAGCTTTTCCTCCCCAAGGCTAGGAAAGCCCCAGAGAAACGCAAACCATTTCCCACTCTGCAGGCGCGGCACAGCCGATCTGCTATCAGCCACCCAGGGGAGCGTGACTGTGGCCCAGTGAGAGGCTTTCAGGACCCCTGGCCTCCTGGAGGAGTTTTCGTAGTGTAGACGTGGACGCACTCCTCTGCGGGGTGGCCCATATTTCATCAGCGACACCTTCCTGTTGTACCAGTGAGAGGGGCAGTGTGTGATCGTCTGTTGGTCCTGTGGATGGCTTTGCCCTCTCTTTCTTCCATTAGCCCCACTGGCTGGTCAAGCCTCAGGCCTTTCAATAGACTTGACATTTCACACGACTTCTAAGGCCGGAATAACAGGAAGCCTGGATGGGTGCAGCACAGTGAAGCCCGGGGATAAGGACAGAACAGGGAGGTGGCGAGCCCACAGTCCAATTCCTTGTCCACAGAGAGCAGCAGTAAGCTTCTAGATCATTGGAATCGGGGTTTTGTTTTGTTTTTTGAGATGGAGTCTCACTCTGTTGCCCAGACTGGATTGCAGTGGCACAATCTCAGCTCACTGCACCCTCTACCTCCTGGGGTCAAGCGATTCTTCTACCTCAGCCTCCCAAGTAGCTGGGATTGCAGGTGCTTGTCACCACGCCTGGCTAATTTTTGCATTTTTACTATATTGGCCAAGCTGGTCTCGAACTCCTGACCTCAAATAACCCACCCACCTTGGCCTCCCAGTACTAAGATGACAGGTGTGAGCCACTGCACCCAGCTGGAATAGGGGTTTTGAGGAGAGCAGGGGGTGGCCACAAGGACCATGGAATGAAAAGAGGGAAGGTTCTAAGAGCACCCAGAGTAAGAGCAGACTCCTGAGCCCTGGCTCCCCCTCCACACAGGTCCTGACAGGTGAGGACTGGACCTCGATGATGTATAACGGGATCATGGCCTACGGCGGGCCGGCCTACCCCGGCGTGCTTGTGTGCATTTACTTTATCATCCTTTTCGTCTGTGGCAACTGTATCCCCCCAGAAGCAGGGTGCAGAAGAGAGCTTGGTGGGGGATGGGGGAAACGGTTTCAAACGGGGGTCAAGGGTATCTGGTTTCTAGGCAGCCAGGCCCTCTGGCTGTAGGGGAGCTCCCAGGCCCACGGCGTGGTGGCTAGGTCAGAGCTGTGGGATAATTCTGCCGGAAAGGTTAGAGACTCAGCAGGGTGTGCGGCTATAGCTGGGAGGAGTGAAGCCCCGCCAGGTCAGTGCGCCTGGAGCAGTGCAGGAAGGACAAGTTTGCTGAGGAGCATGAAGACGGTAGGGCAGCCTCCTCCAAAGTTTCAGGGGCAGGCAGGGAGCCACCAGGACCCTGTGGCCGGGATGACCCGTCTGAGTACTGGGACCGGAAGGATGGAGCTAGGACAGGCCGAGAGATGAGAGGAGAGATATGAGGGGAGGTGGATGGGGCCGTGGAGATGCCGGCAGTGCCTGCACCGTGTAATCTGACGTTGTGGGAAGTGGGAGGAAGGGCACCACTGTCCCCAACTCAGGCGTGTCTCGCGTGGCTCTCACTTGTTTTGCCTCGCGTGGCTCTCCACGCAGCTGAGTGTGGGGGCTGGAGCCAGTCTGGACAGGAAATGCATGGGTTCAAGGCCACAGTAGATTCAGGCTCCTTTCTGGGTACCCTCTGCAGGCAGGCTTCCCTGAGGGCCTTCAGCTGTGTCCCTCCACCCACGCCTTCCCATGGGTAGCTCTGGGAGTGGGGTTAGGGCCTGCCCACATGCAGGCAGGCAGGGCTCCTGCTCCGGAGGCTCCCTTCCACCTACAACCCAAGGCTCCTTAGCTAAACCTCAGACATCCTGCTCAATGTCTTCCTGGCCATTGCTGTGGACAACCTGGCCGAGGCGGAGAGCCTGACTTCCGCCCAGAAGGCCAAGGCTGAGGAGAGAAAACGCAGGAAGATGTCCAAGTGAGTGCTTCCTTAGCAGGAGGGGATCTGGAGTGCGCAGCCATGGCCATGGCCTTGCAGCCCTGGACAGGCCTCCCTGTAGCCCAATGAGCAGGGGCCCTGACGTGGGGACACCCGCCCCAGCGGGCAAACTTCTGCAACCTGCACGTGGGGATGGTGGGGTCCTTCCCTGCGGGCAGGACCAGAAGCCAGTTGGCCTTCTGGACAGACAGGCCTCAGGATGTGGAATGCAAGAGCTTCAGAGCCCGGGCAGGTGGGCAGGGCTCCCCTGGGGAGCGATCCTGGGAATTCCCCTCCCAACCCTGTGGCTGAGTTGCTGTGCTTCTGGGAGAGAGCCATTGTCCTTTGCTGAGCCTCAGGCATCCTCTCTTCTGTGAAGTGGCCATTGGCTTCCCAGGTTCACTTTGTCAGTGAACTCTGTAGCCTGGGACCCTCCTCCAGGAGTGGAAGGAGGCTGGCGTTCTAGACGGTGTTTCTCAAACTCCACCTGCAAACAAGTTGGGAGTTTGCAACTGCAAACAGGTCACCGAGGAATCTTGTTGAAATGCTGATTCTGTTTTAGCTGGTCCAAATCAGATGGGGTGGGATCGGAGTTCTCCATCAGCAGGCTTCCGGGTGGTGCCCATGCTGGGCTCTAGACAGAGTCCTGCTTCTTCCAATGCCCATGCCTGAAGGAATAGAACCCCTGTTCCTGCTGAGGCAAGATGGAAAGAGAAAGGGAAAAAGAGGGCCCAGCATGGAGTTCAGACATTTCTAAAGAGTTGAAGCCTGCTGGGCGTGGTGGCTCACCCCCTATAATCCCAGCACTTTAGGAGGCCAAGGCGGGTGGATCACAAGGTCAGGAGCTCGAAACCATCCTGGCTAACACAGTGAAATCCCATCTCTACTGAAAAAAAAAAAAAAAAAAAAAAAAAAAGATTAGCCAGGCGTGGTGGCAGGTGCCTGTAGTCCCAGCTACTCGGGAGACTGAGACAGGAGAATCGCTTGAACCTGGGAGGTGGAGGTTGCAGTGAGCCGAGATTGTGCCACTGCACTCCAGCCTGGCACCTGGTGACAGAGCGAGACTCTGTCTCAAAAAAAAAGAATTGGAAGCCATCTTAGGCAAACCATGCTTCCACTCTGTGAATCTTGTATAAACCCAGTACAAAGCCACATTTCACCCATTCACTGTCAACCAACATTAAACATGGCTGCCCAGTGAGCCACAGGTAGCCGTGGGCCCACGCTGTGTGTCAGACCCTCTCACCACAGAGAAGGGACTTGCCTGAGCCCACTGCCCTTCCCATCTGGGGGCCGATGCCACTCCTCCCACAGATCCTCCCGGATCCCTTGCCGTGGGATCCTCTGGAGGGTGTTGTCAGGCTGAGCAGATCCCTGAGAACTTTCTGCTTTGGCTTCCACTTTGTGTTTTCTTTTTCTTTTTTTTTTTTTTTTGAGACGGAGTTTCGCTCTTGTTACCCAGGCTGGAGTGCAATGGCGCGATCTCGGCTCACCGCAACCTCCGCCTCCTGGGCTCAGGCAATTCTCCTGCCTCAGCCTCCTGAGTAGCTGGGATTACAGGCACGCGCCACCACGCCCAGCTAGTTTTTTTGTATTTTTAGTAGAGACGGGGTTTCACCATGTTGACCAGGATGGTCTCGATCTCTCGACCTCGTGATCCACCCGCCTCGGCCTCCCAAAGTGCTGGGATTACAGGCTTGAGCCACCGCGCCCGGCACCCACTTTGTGTTTTCTAACTCAGGGGTCTCCCAGACAAGTCAGAGGAGGAGAGGTCCACGATGACCAAGAAGCTGGAGCAGAAACCCAAGGGTGAGGGCATCCCCACCACTGCCAAGGTGAGCACCTCACGCGGGGATGCTGGAGGCAGGCTGGGGTTCTGACAGTCCCGTGGTTCCCCTTGCCACAGGGTACAGATGGGGGAGGGTGGGGGGGGCGTAATCAGCCAGGTGAGGGCGTTTCCCCGAGTGCTACTGGAGGGAGAGCCGGCGGATCCATCTCCAGGGACTCCTGCACTGAGAGGCACAGACCTTCCAATCTGGGAACCAGACTTCCCCAGAGTAACAGCTTCCCACTCCAGACCAAGGAGATAATTCCTCTCCCTGACACCCACTTTCCACTGAGAGGACCAGACCGACTTCCACCATTGCTAGCCCTGCCCTGCCCGTTCCCAGGTGGCTCTGCTCAACATTCCTGAAAACTGAGGAGTGGAGTTCAAAGAGTCAGGGAACTGGGCCCACAGGGACCGGAGGTCCTGGCCTGGGAAGGTCAACTCTCTTCTAGAGATCCAAGCAGCGGGCACGTGAAGATAGAGTCAGACAGGACCGGACGGGCTCAGGCCTTGCCCCGTGGGAGCCTGTGCAGGCTGTCCGACCTTGCTGGGCCTGGCTTCTCATTTGTAAAATGGGGATGATCTTAATATTCCCTGTCCCGCAGGCTATCGGGATGATTGAGTCAGCTGAAAGCTCACAGGCTACTTCTCCTTCATTGTTACAGTCATTGTGTTCCTTCCTACAGCTGAAAATCGATGAGTTTGAATCTAACGTCAACGAGGTGAAGGATCCCTACCCATCAGCCGACTTCCCAGGTGAGGGTGCTGGAGCCCAGGTGGGAGCAGGGTGCCCACATGAGGTAGGGGTGTGCCGGTCCTGAATTCTCCCTGTGGGCACTCTCTTGTGTGTCCCTGCCTGTAGAAATCAGGACACTGGAGACATCCCTTCTGCACAAATAAGTCAGCTGCCAGCTTGTCTCTCCCACCAATGCACACGATAGAAAAACCCAGACATTTTATTTTCTTGTAACTCAGCGAGTGTTTATTGAGCACCGGCTGTGTGCCTCAGTGCTGAGGACTCAGTTTTCAAGAAGCACAGAGACTCGTGGGTATACAAGTCTTCCCTGACAGTCACGCAGAAAGGATCATAAATGAGGACACACCCATCTGTGTAGTGACGAGGCAGATCACTCACTATCCAGCGTCCGGTAGGGCTGAGGGCCGGAACGATGCAGGGATGAACAGAACCGTGAGAGGCAGTGTGGGAAAGTGCAAGGGGGGTAGAAAATGGTAGGATGGCGGGAGCATGGATAACAAAAACCGTGGAGAAACCACAAACACCTTGTAAATGCAAATAACCAGTGACTGCTGCAGAAACCCCATTTATCTGGACCCAGAGGAGGACACGTGGAGGAAGCAGAACCCAGCTGGGGTAACCTTACAAGGCCACCTGGAAGAGCCCTGGGGCCAAGAGCCCTCTGAGTCCTGGGTCCCTCTGGAGCACCGTGTCAGTGGGGCAATTTTAGGTCTACTTATCGCATCAGCTGATCAGCTACTTTTATGTCTGCTTGTGGAATCTGCTGATGAGCCTCTGTTTGCTCCAGTGACTCTAAGCTCCAGTGGGACTTTTGTCTTCCACACCGCACAGTGTTTGGCTCAGAGGAGGCACTCAATAAACTGAATGAATGAATGCATGAAAGAATTTTGCCAAGTGAAGTGTGGGGAGAATGGCGCTGGTACAAGTGAGACTAATGACATTTCTTCAAATATCTACCAGCCGTGAATATTTGTGTTTTAGAATAACTCATGTGGAGTTGTTTCTTCGAACAGTTATCACCTATTAGCTGGGAGTGACTGGTGTGCAGGTGGGATGGTGGCTGATAGGAAATCTGAGGTCGGGAAAAGGAGCTGGGAAGAAGTGAGGAGGGGAGGGTAGAGGGGGTGTGGGCTGGGCAGCAGGAAGACAGCCTTACCAAGGGGGCTGAATGTGTTTATATCCTGTTTCTTTCTAAAAATAGTTCCAAACGGCTTACAGCAAAAGATACGTGCAATGAAATTAACAAACTGGGCATAGGCAGAGGAAGTAAGAAGGCTGGGGAAGGTTGCCAACACGCTCCCTCTAAGAATGAGCAGTGTCTGCGATCAAGCGTGAAATGTGTCTCTGGGGTCTGTGGCAGGCTGGGCAAGACAGGAAATGTCATGTTAGGACACTCATTCTGAGGAATAAGAGTTTTAGCTTCTCGGGGGGGACAGAAAAATTGGAATGTGACTTAGTGGATTTGAGAACCCCAACAGGTGGCCATGTTGAAGACAGTAGAATCCAGTAGCTCTTGGCTTCCCTCAAAGCCTCTGCCAGGGGCCAGTAGGGGTAAGGAGAAGGTAATTGTCAGGGGAGGGAACCAAGAGAAACCCTGGCTTTGGATTCTGCCCTCACCATCTGATCATGAGATCCTCCCATCCTGGAGCTGAGGATTTTGGGTACTCAGTTTCCTCATGGGGCCGTGAGACCCAGTGAATGTGCTTGGGACGTCTGTCACTTCCTCCTCTAACCCCCAGCCACCAGCCCCAGTCCTGGGGACTGGCTGAAGCTCAAAAAATTCTGATTGTTTTTCTCCATGCTCGAAGCTTCTCTGTGAAGTTACCTATTTTTGAAATCCTAGCCCAGGAGAGGATCACAGAGTCCTTTTATTTCAACAATGCTCCTGCCCTTTGTCGGATTCACAAATTGGAAAGCTGACGCTGAAGAAGGGCACAGACCTTTCCAGCACTGCACAGCAAGTTAGAGGCAGAGCTGGGACTAGAACCCAAGTCTCCTCTTCCGAAGCAGGGCTTTCCACTCCATCCCCCCGCCTATGGATATTTGAGGCAGTATGGATGGAGCCATGAGACAGAAGATGCAACCACAAAGTTACTTGAGCTTGCTCTCAACCCCATTTCTGGAAGGTTGTGGGCCTGCCTTACCAACCCCTGACAGCTCAGATCTGCTCACTGAAGGCAAGAGATACCCAGCTGGACTCTGCTGAAGCCCTAGAGTCCCACCTCAGCCTGGCACCACCCTGCTTACTGGCTGCAGGGGCTCCTAGGAGGTCTCTGAGCACAGAAGCCACGGCATAGCAAAGCATGGGAAACACCCCTAATTCCTCCCTCTCTTCCCACAGGGGACGACGAGGAAGATGAGCCCGAGATCCCGCTGAGCCCCCGACCACGCCCCCTGGCTGAGCTGCAGCTGAAAGAGAAGGCTGTGCCCATTCCAGAAGCCAGCTCCTTCTTCATCTTCAGCCCTACCAATAAGTGGGTGTCCCCTGGCTGCTGTGGGGGTGATTTATGAGGCTCTCATCTGCTTCTCTGCATGGAGAGTCAGAAGGAGCTCCTTCTGACTCTCCATGACTACGGTTACACTGTGACAAACCCAGTGTTTTAGCTTAAGATCTTGTGCCCTGTTTAAAATGCTGGTCTATCTGGGAAAAGTGATGCTTTAAGCCTTATCAGCTATTTACACCTCAGAGGGACCTGTTTATTGCTTCCTTTCTGAGAGAAGAGTTTTAGACAGGACAAGGGGGAGAGAGCAAGGGAAGCTATAGTTTTTATTGGCTTCACAATTTTACATCTTTAAACTATATATAGACTATAGTCTTTGTGGAGTTTTATCTGTCTAGCCCATGTATAGAGATCAGCCTGTCCCATTTTCATTTGATGGGAAACCTCAAGGTGGTGCCGTTCATTGCAGGACGGGGCATGTGGTGGGAGAGGCTAGGCTGGGAGGCAGAACTTAAGGCTTTAGAAACAGATGGAGGGGTCAGGGCTCCCTCCACTGGCTGGGAAGGAGCAGGTCGTGCGTCCCATGTCCCTCCGCGGGTTGGAGGCTGATGAGGCCTCCAGCAGCTCACAGCTCCCCTGCCCTCCCTACCTCACCCCAAGGATCCGCATCCTGTGCCACCGCATCGTCAATGCCACCTGGTTCACCAACTTCATCCTGCTGTTCATCATGCTCAGCAGCGCTGCACTGGCTGCGGAAGACCCCATCCGGGCCGAGTCCACGAGGAATCAGGTGACAGGTGTCACCTGCTCCACCACTCAGCACCCCTGCCCCCTCCAGCCTCAGTCTGGTGCCCAGGGTTCAGCTGTATCCTCTCTGTGACTACAGGCATCAGCTTTTCTCAGAGTCCAATTCCTCAGGGTTAGGACAACCTGCTTCAATCCTTCTAAATGGCACAGGCTGGGGCACAGACTGGCTCTGACTGCCTGCTTTGATGCTGCTACTGCTGCTGCTGATACTGTTATCTCTTTCTCTCACTGACTGCTCCCTCCCCTGCCTCATCCCCAGATCCTCAAGCACTTTGATGTTGGGTTCACCTCTGTCTTCACCGTGGAGATTGTCCTCAAGGTGAGCGAAGGCTGTGGGGCAGCCCTGGGCAGGGGGGTTCCCTGATGTGGCTCCAGCTTACACACACCGAACTCGGGGGTGGAGAGAAGCAGAAAAGAGGTGGAGAGTGGCAGGAAAGACTCATGGGACCTGGTACACGGGGCAGGCCCGAGGGTGTCTGGGTGGTGGGCTGGAGAGTGAAGCCCAGCCAGCCTGAGGCTCCCCCATTCACAGAGCACACCCCATGCCTTTAAGCCTCTGGCATTTTTCTTTTCTCTTTTCTTTTCTTTTTTTCTTTTCAAGATGAAGTTTCACTCTTATTGCCTAGGCCAGAGTGCAGTGGCACGATCTTGGCTCACCCGCAACCTCCACCTCCCAGGTTCAAGCGATTTTCCTGCCTCAGCCTCCGAAGTAGCTGGGACTACAGGCATGCGCCTCCACACCTGGTTAATTTTTTGTGTTTTTAGTAGAGATGGGATTTCTTCGTGTTGGTCAGGCTGGTCTCAACCTCCTGACCTCAGGTGATCCGCCCGCCTTGGCCTCCCAAAGTGCTGGGATTACGGGTGCCAGCCACTGCACCTGGCTCTTTTCTTTTTTAAGATGGAGTCTCGCTTTATCACCAGGCTAGGCTCGAGTGCAGCGGTGCGATCTCCGCTCACTGCAGCCTCAGCCTCCCGGGTTCAAGTGATTCTCCTGCCTCAGCCTCCTGAGCAGCTGGGATGATAGGCGCCCACTACCACACCCAGATAATTTTCTGTATTTTTAGTAGAGATGGGATTGCACCATGTTGGGCAGGATGGTCTCGATCTCTTGACCTAGTGATCTACCCTCCTTGGCCTCCCGAAGTGCTGGGATTAGAGCCATGAGCCACCACACCTGGTCAACCTTCGGCATTTTTTGCCCACACAGTTAGCTTAAGAGCAGACCTGGGGAGCTGTGATTTGTTGTTCCTAGACCTCTGTTAGCAGTGACTGGAAAGATCTTTTCCTCCAGGAGTCCCCAGAGAAGTGACCGCTGCCCTGAGCTGGGTTCCTGGCACCCTGCCCCATCACACCTTTTCCACACCTTATCCACAGCACGTCGCCGGCCACCCATTCCCAACACAGATGGGGTTCCAGCCATCCTGGGGGTGGTGGGCTCTGGAGGCAGAGGGAGGACCCATCTGTGCCTGAAACCCAGCAGCACCAGTCTGTACATTCACGAACTAAGAGAGGAGAGGCTGGCCCAGCCCCAGGAACCGGCTCAGAGCAGGCTGTGGTGTGAAATCAGGACAGTACCTTATTTCGGAGCCTCAGCTATTGAAGGAATTGAGCAGAGGGAGACGGTGGCGTCCTCGAGGTCAGGAAGTTTGTGGAGTTGGGGGCATTAGAGCCAGACCTTGAAGTTGGACAGGACTTCGTTAGGGAGAGACAGCTGGGACGGTCTAGGACAGAGAGTAGCAAGTACACTATAAGGAGATTTGGGGACATTGCCAGAGAGGACAAAGTGGCCCCTTTGGGCTGGGACGTACTGCACATAGGGAGGCCTGGGTGCGGAGTCTGGGAAGGCAAATTAAGACGAAATCTCCTAGTGCCCTGAGTGCCGGAAAAGGTTTTAGCCCTGTGCAATTTTAAGGGCGTAATGTTTGTGTGCAAAGACCTGGAGGATTGTCAGAGAATATATCCAAGAACCTGAGAGGGGGGCGAGAAGGCAGGGCTGGGAAGGAGATGGAGAGGGAGGAGAGAGGGCCCTGGACCCCCGGAGTCCTGGAGGGCTTGCAGCCTGACTCAGTAAGCCACAGGGCAGAGGGGACTGCCCGAGAAGCTTTCCAGGAAGGAGGAGAAATCTTACGTTCCGCTGGAGATGGGGGGCCAGGGCTCCTCCACTCTGTGGCCCCATGGGAAAGGAGACGCAGGGTTTCCTATGGCGGGTAAAGAGAGAAGTCCGGCCCGGCTGCCCGTGAGAAGTCCTCACGTTTCAACAACCATGAGCAGAGATAGGAAATGTGTTTAGGCCACTGCAAGGAGCTGAGTGAAACACAGAGATTCCTGGAAGGCTATTGCCTCAGTGCTCTCCTGAGCAGAGGCGACTGTCTCCCATGTCTGTGGGGGACAGGCCTGGTCCCCGAGCTCCGCCACCCAGGCTGCTGCCTCTGTCTCCCCAGATGACCACCTACGGGGCCTTCCTGCACAAGGGCTCCTTCTGCCGCAATTACTTCAACATCCTGGACCTGCTGGTGGTGGCGGTGTCCCTCATCTCCATGGGACTCGAGTGAGCAGCGGCGCGGGCCCGCCCTGGGCACAGACGCCCTCTGCCCCATGCCAGGGCTTCGTAGTGGGAGTCCCACCATGTTGGTGGGCACCTGCCACAGGAGGAGGGCCTCTCAGGGCCTCTGATGGGGCCAGGGGGAACTGGGGGTTGTGGGTTGCCACCAGCGAAGTGGGCAGCACCCTGTTCTAGAGACCGGCAAGGGGTGAAGAGAGGAGGGAGGGGCCCTTCCCTCCCCGACCCTGTGGGGAGCACAGCCCCTGCCGTCGGGGCGCTCACTATCTGATGGGGGGGACGGAGCCTCTAGCCACCCGCAGGGGAAGGCTGTATTCTGCTTCATGACACACCCATGAGAGCACGGTCTAGATAGCAGGGGGTGGCTGTGCCCTGGAGTAGGGCACACTCTTGCAGCTGTAGGAAAGGGGACGGGAAGATGGGAGTGTTTTCAGGCAGAAAGGCAGCCGGCGTGGAGGGCAGGATACAGCTGGAGGCTCCTCTGCAGACCGGGCTGGCTGCAGCAGGCTGCTCTCAGCCCTCGCACGGTTGCCACCTCCCCAGGTCCAGCGCCATCTCCGTGGTGAAGATCCTCAGGGTGCTGAGGGTGCTCCGACCACTGAGAGCCATCAACAGAGCCAAGGGGTTGAAGGTGAGAGAGGGCCTGGGCAGGACCCCAGAAGAGGGATGGGAGGGGTTGCAGGGTCCTGACTCCAGAAACCTCAGCCCAGCCACGGGCGGGACCCCGTCCTGTCTCCTTGGCCAGACAGGGGTAAGGATGAGGCTGGGCTAGCCGTGCTTCCCCATCAGCCTCTCCCCGCCTCCAGCTGGTCAGGAGGCAGCACATCTTGCATGCCTGGGGTTTCCTCAGCTGGGCTAGGGGGGTACAGTGTGTGCACCCCCAGTCCCCACTGGCCTCTGTCTCCCCAGCACGTGGTGCAGTGCATGTTCGTGGCCATCAGCACCATCGGGAACATCGTGCTGGTCACCACCCTCCTGCAGTTCATGTTTGCCTGCATCGGCGTCCAGCTCTTCAAGGTGAGGCCCTGCCCGCGCGACCAGCCTCCCCTCCCACTCCCAGCCCTGGTGCCAGCTCTCTAGCCAAGGCGAGGGCCAGTCGGTTGGTTTGCCCCTATCTAAGCGAAAGGAGCCCCAAATTGTGAAAACAGATGTCTTTGAATGCACAGTTTTTCATATGAGAATATCTTATTTTGAAAAATAGGTCTTTACCACACCAAACACATACATTAGCAGAAAGCCAGTAAGACACCATTACATTTATGTAGCACCTTGAGTTCCACAAAAGCCACCCAGTGACAGCATAAACAGCCCACAGGCTCCTAACACCACTGAAACGGTAGCAGAGGCTCATGTGTCTATTGAGTTGAAATTAAAATACAATTCAAGCACCATCTCTTAAAGCTATATCGTCACGTGCTAAGAATTCTATCAAACAAGACGAGAAGATGTGTAGTTGGATGTGAATCTTTTAAATATGACTATGAAATTCAGACTATAAACACAGCTTTCCTAAATCAAACTTTTAAGAGGCAGCTATCCTTCAATGATGGTTAATAGCGTAAAGAGATCAATAAGCTAAAATGAAAACTTGACACCAACTATCTTAAGCTCTTTTTAAAATTAAATATACAAGCAACACAACACGTTGAGACTCAGAGTGAATTTGCTTCAGTTGAATGCACTGAGTTCATATATGGCAGGTCCAGATCCAGTTTCCTCGGTGATGTCCATCCGGGCCTCTGTGGTTCTGCTGACCACCATCGCCGTGGTATCTGCTGTCTCCCTGCCCCTGCTTCTCCTTGGGGAGGAAGGCCCCTCCTCCCAGGGCCTTGCAGCCATTTCTCTCCCTTCCCACCCTTGCCCATTTCCCCCGATCCTGCCAGGCCTGTCCCAAGCATACGCCCACCCAACCCCACACTGTACCTCCATCTTCCTGGCCGGTTTGCCTGGCATCACCCACATCTACCGGGGCCTTCTAAGGCTGGGAGTCCATCATCTCACCTCCGGAGCCAGCCTTATTCTTGTCTCACTTTCCTGGGAGAACACAGCTATTCAGTTCCTCTCTGGGAATCAGCCCTAAAAAGATGTCTCTCTCACAGAGCTCTGATTTCCAGATGTCTCTGGCTCTCAGATCATTTGCAGGACAGAGAAATTGACTCTCAAGTGTACACCAACACCCTGGATACCCCTGCATGACTCAACTGCTCCTGCCACCAGAGCACCATCCTTCAAAGCCATGATTACATAACCTCAGTCAGTCTTAGACGTGTAGCGGCATCATCTTTCAATCGTTCATTCATTCAACAAACACGGATAGAGCATGTTTTCTATACATGAGCCAGGGCCTCTGCTAGAGCTGAGGGACTTACAAGCCAAATCCTCCCTGAGGGCAGGGAACAGGCTTTGAGACCAGCAGCAGGGTGGGACCTTCGGTGGGGGGAACGGGTCTTCTTGGTCCCTGTCCTGCAGGGATGGGAGTGTTTATAGTGTCTGGCCACTCTGCCATGTGGCCTTCTCCCCCTGGCCCAGGGGAGGGCTGTCCACCTCCTGCCCACCCAGCCTCCTCCTCTGTCAGGTTTGGGTCCCCAGAAACCCTTGAGGGCAGAGTCTGTGTCTGCCTTATCCCTTCTCCCGTCCCCCCGCCCGGGGCCTGGTGCAGACGAGGCCCACCAGACACGCTCCCTGAAGGAATGAATGAGCAGCTGCCCTCCCTTTGGCTTCCACGACCCTTCAGACAAGCAAGAGCAATTGCCTCTCAACACCCAACTCTCGCCAGGTTTTGTCTCTCATTAAAAGACCCCCAGCACCTGCCGTCCAGGGGGTCCCAGGAGCATATCAGTTCCAGTTGGCATTTGCTGTTGCATTTGACTCTGTGGAAACTTGCCATGTGCATCCCACGTTATAGCAGAGAGTCGTGCTTTGCTTTCCACAGTAAATTGGGTATTTGGTGTTAAGTGCCCAGACCCTGCTTAATGGCAGCTCTGTCCACCCCCTGCTTAGCCCCCAGCACCATCCGCCTCACCTTCACCCTCTGCTCCAGCGGCCATAGAAAGGGCATGTAGTAGGAACAGCACAGACCTGTGTGGCAGGGGCAGTGAGGGACAAGGACCAGCGGTGTCTTTAGCTAGTGCTGTGTCCTCAGCCGAGCCAGTTTCCCTCTCTGGGTCTTTGAAGGAATTGCACCAGAATCCGTGGATTCCAAGCCTGTTAGCCTCAATAAGAACCTAGCCATCCTGCGGGGTGCAGCGGCTCACGCTGGTAATCCCAGCACTTTGGGAGGCCTAGGCAGGCAGATCACTGAAGGCTGGGAGTTCAAAACCAGCCTGGCCAACATGGTGAAACCCCTTCTCTACTAAAAATACAAAAATTAGCCGGGAGTGACAGCGCATGCCTGTAATCCCAGCTACTCAGGAGGCTAAGGCAGGAGAATCGCCTGAACCCGGAAGGCGGAGCTTGCGGTGAGCCCAGATGGTACTACTGCCCTCCAGTCTGGGTAACAGAGTGAGACTCCATCTAAAAAAAAAAAAAAAAAAAGACCTAGCCACCCACTCCTTTCTTTCAAACATGTTGTGCAGGGCCCCAGTATGTGACAGATAAAAGGAGCAGCTGCTCTGATCAGTCAGTGCAGAGAAGCACAGAGCCCCGCTACCTGTGCTTTGGGGGTGGGGCATGCTGGGATCCTTCTGAGACAAGTTGAGTCAGAGCGCAGCTGGGCTCCACCTCTGCGCCTCCCGCCCCACTGGCAGGCGGATGGAGGTGGGAGGTGGACAGCCCCTCCTCCTTGCTCTGCAATGGGGAGCCCCCCCCAAGGCCTCCTGCAGCAGTGGGGGAGGTGAGGGGCTCAGGGGCTCAGAGGCTCAGCTCCCCCAGGGAGGGGCAGGGGCCGAGCTGCACTCATGTCCATCCCCTCGGCCCATTGCGGGGCACTCAGTGAATGCCCTTCTGAGGCACTGCCTTCAAGGCCTTGGCAGCATCTAGGCCGGGTGGGGAAACCCCGGGGAGCTGTGGGAATGGATGATAGTGAACAAGAGCGACTGCTCTGGGGCCCTGCCCCAAGGGTGAGTTCATGCCTCTAAGAGGAAGAGGCAGGCTCCTTTTTCAGACACCTGCCTTTCCTCGCCACTTCCACTGCTCACTCCCAGAGCCCGCTTTTTATCCTGTTTCCATGACAACATGCTTCCCTCCCTCCTTCTCCCGGATGCAGGGGAAGTTCTTCAGGTGTACTGACTTGTCCAAGATGACAGAGGAGGAGTGCAGGTACACGGGGCAGGGAGCGGGGTGGGACGGTCACGGGGCAGGGAGCGGCGTGGGACAGTCATGGGGCAGGGAGCACGGTGGGCGGTCACGGGGCAGGGGACTGTGTGTCAGTGTATGGTGGTCCTTCAAACTGGAAACCGGGGAAGCTTGGCCTTTAGGCCTAGGAGGAATACTCACAGAGGCCCCTTTCCTCGGGGTCTCCCAGCGGTGTCCCCTCGGGTCCCAGATCCGGACCTTCATGTCTCCTGCACACTCTCTGCCCGAGGCCCAGAGGATGTGGTAGGGCGAGGCGGCCCAGACGTGCCCTGTGCAGTGACTGGGCCTCCCTGCCACAGGGGCTACTACTATGTGTACAAGGACGGGGACCCCACGCAGATAGAGCTGCGCCGTCGCGAGTGGGTACACAGCGACTTCCACTTCGACAATGTCCTCTCAGCCATGATGTCCCTCTTCACGGTCTCCACCTTCGAGGGCTGGCCTCAGTGAGTGAGGGCTGGGGCCTGGGTCCCTCTCGGGCTTGGGCTGCTCGGACCAGGCAGCCAGCCTGCCCTTCAGCAGCCCGCACGGTGCTACTGCTCCCTGTGGCAGCTGCCCACCAAACCCCAAACCCCACTGACTCTTTGATGGTAGTGTTGACTGATCACTCCAAAGTAGGCCTGAGCCGGGGGGCTCTGACAAAATGTACCCAGTCCCCCATAGGTGTATGACTCTCTGCCCACAGGGAACCCTACTGATTAATGGGAAAGCCTCTGGAAAGGCAGGGCCATTCCAGGATTGGGTCTGGTCTTCCCTGGCCCCATCCTAACTCCTGTCTTTTTTTTTTTTTGAGATGGAGTTTCGCTCTTGTTACCCAGTCTGGAGTGCAATGGCGTGATCTCGGCTCACCGCAGCCTCCGCCTCCTGGGTTCAGGCAATTCTCCTGCCTCAGCCTCCTGAGTAGCTGGGATTATAGGCACTGTGCCACCATGCCCAGCTAATGTTTTGTATTTTTAGTAGAGACGGGGTTTCACCATGTTGACCAGGATGGTCTCGATCTCTCGACCTCATGATCCACCCGCCTCGGCCTCCCAAAGTGCTGGGATTACAGGCTTGAGCCACCGCGCCCGGCCTAACTCCTGTCTTATAACTTGACCTGTTGAGAAGGCTCTCTTGGTTCTCCACAGCCAGTGGGATAAAGTCCATCCTTCCTCGCCTGACCCTTCCTTGTCACCCCGCCCAGCCTGTCCTCTCTGCTCCGCCCACCCCAGGCTGCTGTACAAGGCCATAGACTCCAATGGGGAGGATGTGGGTCCCATCTACAACAACCGTGTGGAGATGGCCGTCTTCTTCATCATCTACATCATCCTCATTGCCTTCTTCATGATGAACATCTTCGTGGGCTTTGTCATTGTCACCTTCCAGGAGCAGGGGGAGACCGAGTACAAGAACTGTGAGCTGGACAAGAACCAGGTGCCCGGTCCGCCGGCCAGAGGTGGAGGGCAGAGCTTCAGCAGCCTCCTGCTGCCCAAGCCCTAGGTCTAGCCGGACAAAGAGAGGCCTAGGGGTGACCCCAGAACCTGCATGTGATGCCAAGCCCTACCCTATCTCCAACCTGAAGCAATACAAGTTGGTAGAGTGGGTCTTCTCATGGAACCTCATGATGCCCAGAGAGAGGAAGCCCTTCAGACCCCTGGGCTAGTCTACAGACCCATGGGAATGGGCTGTGATAACTCAGGGGGAACCCAAGAGCCCAACAGGATTCTTCCGCTAAACAGTGCAGAGTCCTCAGCCACAGCCCCTGGCCACAGCTGCTCCTGACTTGCCCGTCAAGCCCATGGTGTGGGTGTGGAGAGGGAGGGAGCGAGGGGCCTCTCGGTGCTGGTGCTGACCTGTCCTGTGGTGTATGTTGCAGCGCCAATGTGTACAGTATGCCCTGAAGGCCCGCCCACTGAGGTGCTACATTCCCAAAAACCCATACCAGTACCAGGTGTGGTACATTGTCACCTCCTCCTACTTTGAATACCTAATGTTTGCCCTCATCATGCTCAACACCATCTGCCTGGGTATGCAGGTAAGGGCTCCCCAGGAGACAGATGTCTGATCAGCCTGGGGCCAAGGGTAGGGTGGGTAGGGAAGGGTGGGAAGGGCAGGGTGAGTAGGGCTGGGTGGGAAGGGCAGGGTGGGAAGCTCAGGGTGGGAAGGGCAGGGTGGGTAGGACAGGGTGGGAAGGGCAGGGTGGGTAGGGCAAGATAGCCTGGATTCCCTCAGTAGACATTGCCTGTGTACTCTGTGATGAGGCACTACATGGAATACACAATTGAACTGTGCCCAGGCCTTGTCACCAGGCATTTACGGTTTATGAAGGAGGTAATTGAAGCGTAAAAACAGTAGGGTAATTCTGCAAACATAAGAGAGCTACCACAGAAGGAGGAGAAAGGGTGGGAAGTAGAAAGTGCTTCCTCTGTTTTTCTTCTGCTGTTGCAAATCTGGATGGTTGAGTTGGCTGGAATCTTGGCTCTGGTCCCAAGAAAAATGGGTTTAGTATTTGCAGAACAGGTGTCTCTCTTGGGAGCCAAGCACCCTTCATAGACAATATCTTAACGATCAGCATCGTTACCAAGCCTTGATTAAGCATCTGATTCCTTAAGCCCTGTATGAAGAGGATGGTACAGCTAGGCTCCCTGCTCTTAGAAGCCCAAGACATGCCCAATGATGAGAACGCACATTGCTAGGTCACGGTGATATGGAAAGACAGTCACTGAGCTGGGAGGCCCAGATCGCAGAGGATCACCAGCACTGGCTGTGTTGGGGGTTGAGTCAGGCAGAACTGGGCAGTCCTGTCAAGGCAGGGCAGGGTGGAGGCAGCCATCAGATCCTTCCGAACTACCTGGAAGGTTTTGTGGAAAAGGTAGAATTTCCTCCACTTTCTAATAAACAGGAAGAGATCCCTGGGAAAACTTACAAGGAAATAGGGAGGGTCATGGTGGTGGGTCACAGGGCCTCACCATCGTGCCTTACCATCATCACAGGGGGCGGTGTGCAGACACAGTAAGCTTGGTGAGCTCTCAGTTTCCCACTAGTAGCCAGTGGTAACACGGACTGCAGAACCCAGGCGTCTTGTTTCCCAGTCCTGCGCCCAAATGACTAAATAGAACCGGTCACAGAGCCCTGCCTGGACGACCTACCCTCCTGGTCACCCCAGAGCCAATATGTCAACAGGCTCTGGCCTGGCAGCCCCGCACGTAAATGAACGTGCTCAGTGGGATTTGGAATTGGAGCCCCCTCCCCTCCTGTGTTACCTCGTTTGTGGCGGTGGGGTAGAAGGAGGGTGTTCATAAAATTTGGTGGAATTCAGGGGATTGCTAAAGCAGCTCCTAGTTTTCTAAGCTAAAACGAGGTGAGCAGGGGGCCCAAGGGTTGGGGGCTGCCCGGGAAGAGGCAGGGGCTCTGGGAATGCAATCTGCAGGGTGGGCAAGCCAAGACCCCTGACCCACCGCTCCCATGTCCCCTCCACAGCACTACAACCAGTCAGAGCAGATGAACCAAATCTCAGACATTCTCAACGTGGCCTTCACCATCATCTTCACCCTGGAGATGATCCTCAAGCTCATGGCCTTCAAGGCCAGGGTGAGTGTGGGGCCACAGAGCCAGATGAGCAGCTGGGGTGGGCGGGGAGGGTGAGGCCTTCCAGTGGAACTCCACATCCATCCCTCAGCCTATCAGGGGCCCTCTGCCCAGCACTTCTGCTCCCAACTTGCTCACTCCTTTGCCCACTTCCACCTTCGGACACAGGGCAGGCAAATCTTCAGGCGGCCAGAATGGAGCAATAACAGGAAGACTCTGGGCGCCTCTTCCCTACGCTTTCTCTGAGCTTCTCTTACATTCTAGCCTTCCCTGAAGTTTCTGAAGAACAGGCCCAGGGCTGGGGGAAGATCTCGCCCCTGTCTTTGGTTCTCAAGTCCATTGCCATGGTTTGCAGCACAGTCCTGTCAGTTTTGCACTGCCAGGACCCAGATAGGATGCTAAGTGAGGTTCAGAGGGTGAAAGAGATGTTTCTCTGGACCAGGACCCCAGCAATTCTCCCCTCCCCTCCCACCATTTTCTGCTCTGGAGGAAAGGAAATGAAGAGCCAAGGGGAGAGGAGTGTCAGAGTTGGGGGGCTCACTGGGGCACCAGTGGGAGGTGGAGTCACGGGCGCCCCACCTCGGCCTGACCCACAGCTCCACATTAGCTCGGGTGAGACACGTGCTCTGCCAGCAGCCAGAGCTCCTTCCTCCCAAAGCTCACACCCTCACTCTCCCATCCTTTTCCTTCCCAGGGCTACTTTGGAGACCCCTGGAACGTGTTTGACTTCCTGATTGTCATTGGCAGCATCATCGATGTCATCCTCAGCGAGATTGACGTGAGTATCACGCAGACAGAGCCATCACTAGGGTGGGTCCAGGAGCACATGTTCAGTCCACATATATCTGTGGGGTGCCCACTGTGTATTCAACGTGGAACTCCCCAGAGGTTACAAAGATGGAATGACAAGTCGTGGCTTCTGCCCTCAAGGGGCTACCATCCTGCAGAGCAGAGAGATCACTCACATCCCAGGTGGACATCATGGGTGTACCTACTGCACTACCAGAGGCAAGAGCTGTAATGGAAAGGAGAGTCGTGGGGTGGTCAGAGAAGGCTTCATGGAGGTGGTGCCATCTGCCTGAAGGAAAGGGAGGTGGTAACTGGAGCTGGAAAGGAGAGCAAGCACCTCAGGCAGGGGTACTGTAGGAAAGGCACAGAGCAGGAAATGCAAAGAAGGTTCAGCACATGCTGAGTGGTCCGGTTTATCGGAAGCGTAAAAACATGCAGAGGAGAGAAGCGGGAGGGCAAGGCTGGAGAGGTAAGCAGTGAGGGAGGCCTGAGTTTTATAGGGCAGGCAGTGGGAAGGCACTAAAAGTTTTTGAACCGGGCAGTGGGAGGATTAGAGTCCTACTTCTTTAAAAAAAAAAAAAAAAAAAAAAAAAAACAACTTTTGGCCAGGCATGGTAATCCCAGCACTTTGGGAGGCCAAAGCAGGTGGATCATGAGGTCAGGAGTTCAAGACCAGCCTGGCCAAGATGGTGAAGCCCTATCTCTACTAAAAGTACAAAAATTAGCCAGTCGTGGTGGCGGGTGCCTGTAATCCCAGCTACTCAGGAAGATGAGGCAGGAGAATTGCTTGAACCCGGGAGGTGGAGGTTACAGTGAGCTGAGATCATGCCATTGCACTCCAGCCTGGGTGACAGAGTGAGACTCCATCTCAAAAAAAAAAAAAAAAGAAAAAAAGAAAGAAAGTTTTTGGTAATATAAAGATGGGGTCTCTCTGTTGCCCAGGCTGGTCTCCAACTCCTGGGCTCAAGTGATCCATCTGCCTCAGCCTCCCAAAGTGCTGCGATTACAGGTGTGAGCCACCACACTGAGCCCTTAGAACCCTGCTTCTAAAGAATTAATCTGGGCCGGGCACAGTGGCTCACCTCTGTAATCTTGGCACTTTGGGAGGCCAAGGCAGGTGGATCATGAGGTTAGGAGTTCGAGACCAGCCTGACCAACATGATGAACCCCATCTCTACTAAAAATACAAAAATTAGCTGGGCATGGTGACACACACCTGTAATCCCAGCTACTCAGAAGGCTGAGGCAAGAGAATTGCCTGAACCTGGGAGGCAGAGGTTGCAGTGAGCCAAAATCATGCCACTGTACTCCAGCCTGGGTGACAGAGTGAGACTTCATCTCAAGAAGAAAAAAAAAGTTAATCTGGAAGTGAGTGACAGGAAGTGAGAATGACTAAACTCAGGAGACCCAGTCAGAAGACTCACTCATTTACTTCTCAAGTATGTACCGAGTATCTCCCATGTGCCAGGTATGGTTGTGCTGCCTGGGGTACAGCAGAGAACAAAATTGTGGAACAAACTGGCAATACATAAATCAATCTCTGATAAGACAGGTGTGACAAATACATAGTATTATACAGACACAGAAAGGGAGTTAGGGGCTTAGAGTGGAAGAGAATGGGAGGGTGGTGTCCAGATGACACTGGAGCAGAAACCTGAAGAGAGCAAGGGACTGAGCCAGGGTGTCGGCAGAAGAAGACAGCAGGTGCGAAGGCCCTGCAGCAGGTTGTGCTTGCTGAGTTTGGGACGAGCAGGAGGCCCTTGTAGCTGGAGAGAATGGTGGAGATGAAGTGAGAGAGAGAAGGCAGGGGCAGGATCATCTAGGCCTTTGAAGGCCACGGTCACGATCTTGGATTTTATTCTGAGGGAGACGAGAGCCCTTTGGAGGGTTTAAGTGTGAACGGACTTTAGTTCTAAAACAATCACTGTGGCTGCTGTGTTGAGAACAAGCTCAACCTTAGGGGACTGCGAGGGCTGACCCAGAGAGAGCAGTCAGGGGGTTCCCACAGTGATCCAGATGAGAGGCGAAGGGGGCCGGGCTGCCTGTGGAGGACGTGAGAAGGGGCCAGCACCTAGATCTGTTTTGAAGGCTGAGCTGAGAGGAAGGCAGATGGCCCAGGATCTGGACTAAGGGGTTGAGGCCTTGGAGGTGGAATGGGAAACAGCAGCAGGACCTGCCTTGTGAGGGGCATGAAAGGAGCAGGGAGGCAGTTCCAGCCGGAGAGGGTCACATTCACGATCTCAGAAGCTGTCCAGGCGCAGTGGCTCACGCCTGTAATCCCAGCACTTTGGGAGGCTGAGGTGGGTGGATCACAAGGTCAGGGGTTCGAGACCCGCCTGGCCACTATGACGAAACTTCATCTCTACTAAAATTACCAAAAAAAAATTAGCCGGGCATGGTGGCAGGTGCCTGTAGTCCCAGCTACTTGGAAGGCTGAAGGCAGGAGAATCGCCTGAACGCAGCAGGTGAAGGTTGCAGTGAGCTGAGATCGCACCACTGCACTCCAGCCTGGGTGACAAAGCGAGACTCCATCTCAAAAAAAAAAAAGGGAGCCGGGCGCGGTGGCTCAAGCCTGTAATCCCAGCACTTTGGGAGGCCGAGGCGGGTGGATCACAAGGTCGAGAGATCGAGACCATCCTGGTCAACATGGTAAAACCCCGTCTCTACTAAAAATACAAAAAAATTAGCTGGGCATGGTGGCGCGTGCCTGTAATCCCAGCTACTCAGGAAGCTGAGGCAGGAGAATTGCCTGAACCCAGGAGGCGGAGGTTGCGGTGAGCCGAGATCGCGCCATTGCACTCCAGCCTGGGTAACAAGAGTGAAACTCTGTCTCAAAAAAAAAAAAAAGATCGTAGAAGCCGAGCCCGCCAGAGGCTGCCTTGCCAAGGGTCTGCAGGTGAAGGTGGCTGCAGTGAAGGAGGGTGGAGGCAATGCGAGAATCGGAGGCCGAAATAAAAAAACAGTTGCTCTGGTGTCATCCTGGGAGGGACACAGTGAAAGAGAGAAAGACGAGCAGTCTTCTTTCTGAGCCATGGTGGGATGTTACCCCAGAGCTGGCTGATCTGGCCATGAGGGATCCCAGCACTTTGGAAGGCCGAGGTAGGTGCATCACGAGGTCAGGAGTTCAAGACCAGGGCTTTCTTCTGAACTACCCACTGCTCAACAGAAAGCCCTTAGGCTGTGCCAGCCCAGGGGTGAACCTTAGGCTGGGTTGGGGGTAGGGGTGCAAGGGTCAGCACTGGAGTTGCCTCAGGTGGGATGTGGGTGAGACAAACAGCTGAGTTAAAGTCTGGCGTCTCTGAAGAAGGAGCCCTCAGCTGAGGCTCCTAAAGGCTGAGCCCTGGCAGGGAGTGGGGACTTGGCTGCCTCACCGGCTGTCTGATGTGCTAGAGTGGGGGCCCTGTTCACCCACTATGCACAGGACAGTGACAGACAACCCCATCTGCTCAGATCCACTGGGGCCCTGAGCCAGAGAGGGGCAGGGTGGGCTCTGAGCAAAACCGTGTGTGTGTGTGTGTGTGTGTGTGTGTGTGTGTGTGTATGTGTGTATTTCCATCCGTGCTCAGTTTTTGCTGGGAAATAGTATTCCAAAAGGCTTCGTGGTTGACAGCAGCACTTCTCACCAGCACAGCCAGAGCAGAGAAATCCAAACAGCCAAAATAAACAGCCTAAACTAAAAATTTTTACTTCTTAAAATTTGAGGTCTGTGGAGGGGAAGCCTGGATAAATCAAAACAGTTTCTTTGGTGATGGAGGCCAGGAGGGCGTCACTGGGTTTTGTTATTTGATTTTTCAAGAGTAGCGGAGGCCTCTTACAAGTAGTGTTTGCTTAAAGTCACATGAAGATTGATTTAGATACCTGATGTACCAACCAGGGAAAGGACTACGGGAGCACACTGTTTAGAACTTTCTGCGAAGACAGAAATGGCCTGCCCTGTCCAGTAGAGTAGCCGCTAGCCACAGATGTCTGCTGGTCACTGGAAAGGGCGGCTAGATGCACTGAGGAACCGGATTCTCTGGTTTTATTTAATTGGCATTGTATTCAAATGGCGACATGTGGCTAGTGGCTACCGTGTTGGATAGCACAGGTATAGAACAGTGGTTGTCATCCTCACTTGCAAATGACAATCACCTTCGGTGCATTTAAACTTCTGGACCAGCACCCATCCCCTAGAAGCTGACTGAATTGTCCTGGGGGGACACCCAGCAAAGGTCTATGTATTTTTCGAGTTCTCCAGGTGATTCTGACATGCAGCAAGGCTTGAGAACCAGCAGTCCAGGGAAAGTCTGCCCCAAACAGTGTTGTTTAATGGGGAGACCAGTATGCCAGGGATCAGTCTACCTGTAGAAAAGTGGGAGATAAAACATGACTTCTTTTGAGCCAAGGCTCCAGAATAAGGTCTTCCTATGAAGAATGACCCAAGGAAGTAAACAGGAAAAAACTGCTCCCACACACCTGCCCACCTGCTCTTTAGGAGCCTGATTACTGAGATAAGCCTTGGTCCCAGGTCCAGTCCGGGGCCGAGAAACATCTGCTGTGGGGATCTCAGATTCCCCAAGAGGAGCTGTGCCCCTGGGAGATGGGACTTCCGAAGGGGCCTTGGCCTCGGGGTGCTACAGATGTGAATCCACTTACAATGAGCAGGCATTTTCCAATGCACCCTAGTCGGGGATGTCCCCAGCATCACGGAACCCAAACGCATGAGAAAAACCCCGAGCCCTTGCCACGGGTAGCGGCGTCTCCAACATGAGAAGGGACCTGTCTGTGCCCAGCCTTCCCTCCCTTCTCATTTCCTCGTCCCCCGCCTCCTGCCTCACAGTTCCCACAGAGCTTGAGTCCTCACTCCCACCCGCCCCACCCCGATTGACAGCCTTGTGGGGTCTTCAGTCCCTGCCTCTCTTTTTCTCTTTAACTCTTCTGTGTGTCTGTCCTTTCTGACACGTCTTTTCACGTCCCTCCCATGTGTCCCTCCTCCTCTCTCTCTCCTCTCCTTCCCCTCCCCTCGTCTCTTTTCTCCACAGACTTTCCTGGCCTCCAGCGGGGGACTGTATTGCCTGGGTGGAGGCTGCGGGAACGTTGTAATTTCGGGCTGCACGAGCCTGCCCAGCACGCTCACCAGCTCCCGCTGCCACTTGCATGCATGGGCCTGGCTGCGTGGATTGCATGGGGTGGATCAGCACTCAGGGCTCCCTCCCCAGGGCAGGCCCCAGTCTAGGCTGGGGCGGGGGCAGAGGCTCTGCAGTCAAGTGTGCATGGGTATAGTGGCTTCCTCAGAGCCCTGGGAGACGGAGTGCCGGTTCTCTCTGGCACCTTCTCTGCGGATGGAAACACAGTCCAGAGAGAACTGTGATCGCTGGCAAAGGACCTTAGTGACAGTTTATTCGGCACAAGGCCTTTGAGGACACAGGAAGCAGAGCAGGGACGGCTCTCCCCTTCCAGAGTAATTCGTGTGTCTAAAGCTGGCACAAGATTAGAGGCTTGCCTGGCTTAGAACAGCCGCGTGCAGGGTGGGAGTGATGGGGAGTAGCCACATTGAGTTTATGGAAATAGAGCAGCCAAGCTTTGGGAAACCTTTGCAATGGGTGGACGCCGGGGGAGGTGCCCTAGGAGGGCCACCAGAGTCTTCGACTCAGTGGCCGCTCGAGGAGATTGTGAGATGCGGAGGAGGCCCCAGAGGGCGGGCAGTGGGCCCAGGTGCAGCCGCATCCCAGGGCGATCCCTGCCACTGCTCCCAAGCGTGGGCTCACCACGCTGCCCGGTGCCCCATGTGCTCTTCCCTGCCTCCCAGCTGAACTGCCCCAGAGCCCTGCGCCCAAGGGTGGCCCCATACGAGTGGACAACAGGGGCTTCTGCGTGGGGCTGGAGCTCCTCCCTGTCACCAACGTCTCCCCAACACACACAGTGCACCTCCCTCCCCGCCCTGCCCCTTACCCCTCTGAGGTGCTGCCCCCGGACTGACCTCTGGGGCTGCTGCCCAGCAGGACCCAGACGAGAGTGCCCGCATCTCCAGTGCCTTCTTCCGTCTGTTCCGAGTCATGAGGCTGATCAAGCTGCTGAGCCGGGCAGAGGGAGTGCGCACCCTCCTGTGGACGTTCATCAAGTCCTTCCAGGTGCAACAGGGACCCTGGAAAGTGGGCGGATCTGGGGAGGCCACTAGGGACATCTGGTGTGGGCCCCTGGGGAGCCGGGGGCAAGGCAGAGCCCTGGGGAGCTAAGGGAGGGCAGGGCTGCAGACACACAGTGGAGCCCTAAGACACTGGCTGAAGCTCCCACCCGCCCCGCAGGCCCTGCCCTACGTGGCTCTGCTCATCGTCATGCTCTTCTTCATCTACGCCGTCATCGGCATGCAGGTGAGAGGCAGGTGGGCCCGGGCCAAAGCACGGATCTTGGCCAAGTGAGAGGGTCATCCGTGCAGCCTGAGCAGCACTCGGACTGGGCCCTCTGCCCTCCCTGCCTTGCTCAGGAGAAAGGAGGGGCACCTCCCTGATCCTGGATGGTGGGAGTGTCAGATGCTTGGATGCCATCCAGGAGAAACCTGCACATGTGGATGGACAGCAGGGGACAGGCTGTGTCTCTAAGGCCCGATCGGAGGCCTGGGTGGCCTCTGTCCACCCTCCCCTGAGAGTCCTTCCCCGACACATTGACTCACTGGGTCCACTTGTGGCTGGGAAAACTGGTCTACCCTCCTGCTTTTCGTTGGCTTGCTGGGAAGAACTTCACCTGACCTAGAAAATAATTCCGTTTTCTTGGCTTCAGGTCTGATGTGGCCTGCAATGATGGGAATTGGGGGAAGTGCGGGCAAAGGTAGAGGGCAGGCAGGAGAAGGCCGTGGGAGATAAGCTGAGGGGGCACTTTCCTCTAGGCTCCACAGTCAGGGCTCCCTCTTTGTGACTTGCAGATGTTTGGGAAGATCGCCTTGGTGGATGGGACCCAAATAAACCGGAACAACAACTTCCAGACCTTCCCGCAAGCTGTGCTGCTGCTCTTCAGGCACGAATCTCCCACCGCCCGCCGCCCCGCCCTGATCCCACTGCCCAGTCCAGACTCTGCTCTGTTCTAATCTGCACTGGAGGCAGATGACACTCAGAAGGGTCCCCTGCTTGGCTGCATGCTCTGCTGTCACTGTCTTAAAGATATCCATCGTTTTTGAGCAGGTGGCCCCACAGCTGTATTTTGCACTGGGCTCCTCCTCTGAGTGACATGCAGCATTTCACCCCCATCTCATCCCCATGAAGCAAGAGACAGAGGTCAAATATCTTCTCCTGGACACTGGACATTTGTCCTTGTAGCTCCCAGAGCATGAGCAGGAATGTGGGGAAAGGCAGAGCAAAGAGCCAGTTGGGGTGGGGGCAGTGCCACAGGTAGGTGCAGGGTTCTTCCTTGGCCAGGACACAGGAGCTGGAGCTAGGATTGCAACCGAAGATCCGGTGCCGCAGGCCTGCTGGGTGTGCAGGAGCCAGGCAGGAGAGGTGAGCTCCCTGGCCCGCAGTGGAATGCTCCCCTGAGACCAGATGAGGCCTAGGGACCCCCCCACCCACCCCACAGCCCCTTCTCAGCACGGCTTGTCGAAGGCTCCATGAGGTCATAGCAGCCTGCCGCCGTTATGGCCTGAGAGGAGACCGCCACCTCGCCGTGTGCAGGCAGAGATTCCCACCTCGCCCCTGGCTCTGCACCTCAATTCCAACTCTGAGCCCCCCTGCATTACCTGCTCCAGGAAGGAAGGGAGTACCTGAAATGAGCCAGTGATTAAACACAAAGCCATGGGAAATTATGCCATCAGGCTGGATGTGACTAGGGGAGACATTTCTTCCCAGCTGGCAAGGTGGAGGGAGGTTACCTACAGAGCAGGTCGTAGCAGTTACTGGAAAAAATACAAACACGTCATGCATATGCACCTCGATGCATTGAGAGTCTTCACTCGCCAGAGACACATTCACAGGTGTGAGATCTAAGAGCTACTTTTGTGACTCAGCCAGACTGAGTGGCAGCTGAATTCAGCCAGTTGGGTTCAACTGTGGGGTCAGCTCAGAGAGCGGAGTCAGTTCACCTCCCTGAGGCCTCCGTGACATCTGACCCTGCCTCGCTTTGGTCAGAACAGTGCAGCCCTCTAGTAACTTGAATCGTAGACTGATTTGGCCCTCTTCTCTAAAGTTCAGCTCCTGCTTGTAACACCCCATGGGGGCTGCGGCACAGAGGGGAAACTGAGACCCAGCTCACACTGCGCCACACGGTGAACGTGGACCTCCCGACTTCCGGGCAGTAGCCCCAGTTTGCTCATCTGTCCGCACCCTGCTCCCTCCTGGCTGCCAGCCTCCTGTGGGGCCAAGCAGGAGCAGATAGGTGACAGGAGCCTCTTCTGTCCTCCAGGTGTGCAACAGGGGAGGCCTGGCAGGAGATCCTCCTGGCCTGCAGCTATGGGAAGCTGTGTGATCCGGAGTCCGAGTATGCCCCCGGGGAGGAGTATACCTGTGGCACCAACTTTGCGTATTACTACTTCATCAGCTTCTACATGCTCTGCGCCTTCCTGGTGAGACGCTGCGGGCCTGCGGGGCAGGGAGACGGCTCTGATGAGCCGAGGCAGGAGGGAGCCTGCCTGCTCCTTCCTGGCCAGCTTCCGCCTGTCCTGGGATTCATCTGAGGGACGCAGGAAGCTCTAGTTAGGTTGTCCCGGTTCTGGTTATCCCAAGTGTGGCTTTGATTCCTGGGTGCTTTTTCACGCTAAGAGAGGTTGCCAAAAGTTCTTACCGTCTTTTGTTTTGGTTAGCACTTTATCAAAAGGAATTGAACAAGGCCAGAGGGCACTGACTGTGCAAGAGCACAGAGCATTGCTGTGTGTGTGACGTGGGTGGCTCAGAAGGGCTAGAACCGAGGGCACAGGTAGCAAGAGGTTGTGGACATGGCCCCCTCCCAGCTCCCCCTCCTATCCCTGTACCTACTGCCTTCTGGGTAGGAATGCTTGGTTCTTCTCTGGCAGGTCATCAACCTCTTTGTGGCTGTCATCATGGACAATTTTGACTATCTCACCCGGGACTGGTCCATCCTGGGCCCTCATCACCTGGATGAGTTCAAGGCCATCTGGGCAGAGTATGACCCGGAGGCTAAGTGAGTCCAGTCTGTAGGCTCTGACCCTTCCTAGCATCTGTCCAGTTTATTCAGTATGAGTGGGCTTCTCCTTCTCCCCTCACCTATCCAGGGTCTCAGATCAGAGAATCAGAGCCTCTCCAGGTGGGAAGGCATCCTACAGCTTCCCAGGGTGGAAACATCCTTGACTTTACTGGGAAATGGTCATCCAAATCCTGTTTGGACACTCCTAGAAGGAAACTCCATACCTCATCAGGAACTGTAGACCCCGAATCAAAGTGCAGTCCTCTGACCAGCAGAATCTGAGCTTGACTAAAATGCAGAGTCCCAGGCCCCGCCCAGACTGACTAAATCAGATTCTTGCATTGCTGTGAACCTGAGTGCATGCAAACGCACTTTAAAGCTTGGCAAGCCGGCTCTCTTACATTCTTTCCCAACAGAAAATACGCTCGTATTTCGTGAATGTTTCCCAGGCATCAGGCACTGTGCTACACACTACTTGTGTCATCTCATTTAGTCCTTCCAACAACCTGTGGCACAGGCCTCCCGACGGTCTCAGTCTCAGAAACTGAGGTTCAGAGAGGTTAAGTAAGTTGCCCTGGGCCACGCAGCTAGTAAGGGATGATGATGCTAAGATTCAGTGCGGTCTGTCTACTGCCTGCAGCAACCATGCTTTAAAATGCCTCCCTCCGCAGGAGCCAAACCCACTTGCCTCTACCAGCCACCCACAAGTCCTCACTCAGCCCTCTGGAGACAGGGGGGAATGTTTCATCTCTTTTTCACAACCAGCCCGTCAAAGAAAAGAGGAAGCCACTATGACCTCCCAAAATGATTTTTCTCAGGCAACACTCACAAGCCGCTTTTTACCACGTTTGTCTTTTGATCTGATCCCCCTGGTTGTCCTGTTTTATGTCTATTCTGGGAGTCATGGTGCCAATGAAAATGAGGTTTCCAGCTCTGGACCAGCCTCTGGAAGTCGGCTTCCACCTCCCTTGATCTATATCCTCTACTTCTATTAATATAGCCCAAGAGCCCCTATTAAAGTGACCAAAACCTAAAAAAGGTCCTGATGGGGAAAATGAGGTCTGGATTGCAGACCTGGAGATCGCATATCTGAGGGAATGCCCCCAAAAAGAGAGCCTATTTTGGGGTGCCCATTTTGCAGACAACAGCGAATCCTAACACTGTCCCTTCTTTTAAAAGGGAGCTGGGCTCCCACTTCCTAAACACAATTGGAAAGTAAGAAAATGCTCCCATTGCCTGGCTCTCCATCCCTTTGCCCATCCTCTGAGTAGAAAGGCTCTCGCAGCGGCGGAGGGTACCAGGTACACAAGTCTCCGTGTCCTCCCGCAGGGGGAGAATCAAGCACCTGGACGTGGTGACCCTGCTGAGAAGGATCCAGCCACCTCTGGGCTTTGGGAAGTTCTGCCCTCATCGGGTAGCTTGTAAGGTAACCAGAGCTGCCAGGGAGAGGTGGCCCCAGGGAGAGGTAGAGTCACCGAGGCACAGGGAAGGTGGTGAGGACCTGATGGAATGAAGCGTTTTAGTGCCGGGATCTCCTGGGTCCCCAAGTTCCTCCAGGAGGGCCTGAAGTCTCGACAATGTCGCCCCAGCTCATCATTCTGTCCCCTCACAAAGGACGTCCTGGTCAGCCGACACCCCCAGCCCTCATGTCCCATCCCCTCCCGGCCCACAGACCGGGTGAGGTTGATCTGCCAAGCTCGGCCTGGTCCCAGCTCAGCAGCAAGCCACTGCCTCTCCCCGCACAGCGGCTGGTGGGCATGAACATGCCCCTGAACAGCGACGGCACGGTCACCTTCAATGCCACACTCTTCGCCCTGGTCCGCACGGCACTCAAGATCAAGACGGAAGGTGAGAGGGCCTTCCAGTGTGAGCCCCCTCCTTTCTCTCAGAGGGTGTTTCTGGCTCAGATTCTGCCAGATTCTCAGAGCTCGGTTGCTCTCAAGAACTGTGGGATGAAGCGGAGGGAGGACCCCAGGCCATGGCCACAAAGCCCTCCTGCCCTCGGAGGCTCGGAGGGAGCCTGAGGGTTCTCTGCAAGGCAAAGATCACCAAGGGTCTGTTCCCACAGGCCTCAGCTGTGTCTGGGGGCCAGAGAAGGGCCAGTGCTAATACAGGGTTCAGGGGTGCCCTGCAGTGTGGCTCTGAGCAGGAGCAGAGAAAGTTCTCAGGCAGTGCTGGGCAGGCTGACGGGAGTCCACATTCGACTCCGCCAAATCACAGGTCCTCAGCTACTGGGAAGACAGGCATGGTGGGAGCAGGGGAAGGAGTCGGGGTGGGGTCTCAGCGTTATCTCTGAGCTCTTACTCAAGGCTCCCACTGCATCAAGTTCAAGGTTCCAGCTGTATCAGGTCCATCCCCACAAAGGGACCATTGCAGGAGTCTGTGACAACCTCAGGGTAAGCTTCCTTAAGAGGGCAAGATGAAGAAGGCCAGGAGTCAGGAGGGAGCAGGTTAGAGCTGCAGCCAGGCTGCCTGGAGGTATTTGGGACAGACCACAGTGCCTGGGGAATTGAAAGATTTTGGAAGACCAGGAGATGACAGCCAGTAAAGCCAAGCACTCTGGGCACTGGAAGCCAAGGCCTGTGGGGAGCATGTACATGACCTAAAGGTTGGGCTGCCTCGGGGGGACAGTGATGCCCTCCCACCATTGCCAGTACCCAGCAAGGCCCTTGCCACAAAAGAAAACTCAGCCAATGCTGCTGAGTGAATGACTGGTTCTCTGAGAGGTTCAGAAAGAACTGGGTGGCCTTGTCAAGTGCAGTTGGTGTGACCTGGATAACTTTGAACTGCTCTGCCTTTCTCCTGCTCCAGGGAACTTTGAGCAGGCTAATGAGGAGCTGAGGGCCATCATCAAGAAGATCTGGAAGAGAACCAGCATGAAGCTCCTGGACCAGGTCATCCCTCCGATAGGAGGTAGGTGCTGCTTTGGGGGACCAGAGTCCAGAAGCAGCCGCAGGATGGGATGGGGAGCTTCTCCAAGGAGCCCCATGGGAATCTGAGAATGGACCAGACCCTCCGTAAATGCCTTAGTAGACCCCATTGGCATCCAGCCTCAGGATAGAGAGCTCTTAATGACCAAGTCAGCAAGACAAGGGGTTGCTCGCGTGCTGGGCCTGATGACAGCTGGCTCCCGCTCTGAATCAGGGTCAGGTTCCCACCAGTCTTCAGGGCATCTCTTGTTGGCTCCTCTGCAGATGATGAGGTGACAGTGGGGAAGTTCTATGCCACGTTCCTCATTCAGGAGCACTTCCGGAAGTTCATGAAGCGCCAGGAGGAGTATTATGGCTATCGGCCCAAGAAGGACATTGTGCAGATTCAGGTAAGCCCAACCCAGGTACGTTCCAAGGAGCCCCCCACTGAGCCAGGTCTCTAGACTCTAGTTATCCTTCCATGTCCTTGAGGGGCCAGTGGTGGAAAAAGAGGTGACAAAGGAGGCCCAGAAGAGTGAAACAATGTCAGAATGGTTCTGGATAGTCCACGATTGAAAATGTTTCAACCTCAAAAAAAAAAGAACCAGGAGCACTTCATCTCTGGGTGAAAGGACCACAGAAAATAGGATTTGTTCGAAGGAGAGACAAATTAGATAAGTACAGTGGTCTCTAGGCTAGGCACGGTGGCTCATGCCTGTAATCCCAGCACTTTGGGGGGCCCAGCCAGGCAGAGCACTTGAGGTCGGGAGTTCAAGACCAGCCTGGCCAACATGACAAAACCCCATCTCCACCAAAAATACAAAAATTAGTTGAGTGTGGAGGCGCATGCCTGTAATCCCAACTGCTTGGGAGGCTGAGGCATGAGAATCGATTGACCCTGGAAGCTGAGGTTGCCCTGAGCTGAGATCACGACACTGCACCCCAGCCTGGGCAACAGAGTGAGACTGTGTCTCAAGGGAAGGGAAGGGGAAGGGAAGCCCTCCTCTTCAGCAGGCAGCTCACTTGGGGTTGGGAGTTCAAAACCAGCTTGGCCAACATGGTGAAACCCCACCTCTACTAAAAATACGAGGATTAGCCGGGCATGTTGGCTCACACCTGTAATCCCAGCTACTCTGGAGACTGAGACAGGAGAATCATTTGAACCCAGGAAGCGGAAGGGAAGGGGAGGGGAGAGGAGGGGAGGGGAGGACAGAGGTCTCTAAAGAAAGGAGGTCTCTGAAGGGCCCTTAAAATGTTCCACTGGACATGGGTCCAGGTGCGGTGGCTTACACCTGTAATCCCAGCACTTTGGGAGGCTGAGAAGGGTGGATCACTTGAAGTCAGGAATCCAGGAACAGCCTGGGCAAGATGGTGGAACCCCATCTCTACTAAAAATGCAAAAATTAGCTGGGCCTGGTGGCATGTACTTGTAATCGCAGCTATTTGGGAGGCTGAAGCAGTAGGATCACATTGTAATGCACATAACTTATAATTTATTAATGCACATAAAATATATTTATAAAATATAGATGCATTTGAGCTATGTGCTCAAAAATTCATTTCAGTGACTATTTTTATTTTGAATAATCTCACACTTTTAAAAAGTTGCAAGTATAATACAAAACCTTTTTTTCCCTAAACCATTTGAGAGTAACTCCAAAATGATGTTCTATCATCCAAAACATGTTAATGCATATTTCAAGGTATTATGTGTGTATTCAAAGCAAAATGTGTATTACAAGAGCATTACCTTGCATAATTTTTCTATGTAACCACAACATAACCAACAAAATCAGAAAATTAACACTGATACAGGTGGGGTGTTTGTTTCTTTGTTTTGTTTTGAGACAGAGAGTCTTGCTCTATTGCCCAGGCTGAAGTGAAGTGGCACAGTCTTGGCTCACTACAACCTCCGCCTCCCGGGTTTAAGCCATTCTCATGCTTCAGCCTCCTTAGCAGCTGGGAGTACAGGCACACACCACCATTCCAGGGCACTTTTTGTATTTTTAGTAGAGATGGGGTTTTGCTATGTTGGCCAGGCTGGTCTTGAACTCCTAACCTCAAGTGATCTGCCTGCCTCAGCTTCTCAAAGTGCGGGGATTACAGGCATGAGCCACCATGCCCAACCAATACATTACTATATTCTAATCCTCAGATCCCATTCACATTTTACTTGCTGTCCCAATAAATGTCATTTAAAGCAAAAAGATCCAAGCCAGAATCACACAGTGCACTGAGTTGCCATATCTCTTTAATCTCTTCCATCTGGAAGAGTTTCTCAGTCTTTCCTTGACACGATCTTGACACTTTTAAAGACTGCAGGTCAGTATGTCCCTCAGTTGGGGTCTGTCTGATTACTAGGATATGCATCTTGGATAAGAATGCCACAGAAATGATGCTGTGTTCTCATTACAAGCTATTAGGTGACACCAGTCTTGACTTGTCCCATTGCTGCTGATATTAACTTTGATCAACTATATATGCATGACATATGCAATCAACAGAGATCACTGATCTAGGAGACTATACTGAGTAAGAAGACTTCTCAGCCTGGAATCCTGGGAAGGGCATGAAGTTTCCACCAGTGGGGTCAAAAGATAACTCGCTGGGAACAATTAACGTGTGGGCTATTTCAGAGGTCAGAGCAGGACCTGGTGGCCTCTCAGGTCCCTGAGATGTTGAATGACCCAAGAGGGAGAGTGGGGCCTAGACTGGGGCTTCGGGAGAGCTCTGGGTACAGTGATAAGAGATAAGTGGGCCACAGAAAGTGGTTCTGGCCAGGCCCGGTGGCCCATGCCTGTAATCCCAGCACTTTGGGAGGCCGAGGCAGGCAGCTCACTTGAGGTTGGGAGTTCAAGACCAGCTTGGCCAGCATGGTGAAACCCTGTCTCTACTAAAAATACAATCATTAGCCGGGTATGGTGGCACACACCTGTAATATCAGCTACTCAGGAGGCTGAGGCAGGAGAATCACTTGAACCCAAGAGGCGGAGGTTGCAGCGAGCTCACATTGTGTCACTGAACCCCAGCCTGGGCAACAGAGTGAGATTCTGTCAAAAAAAAAAAAAAAAAAAAAAAAGTGGTTCTGGTATCCTCTCCTGGGCTGGAAAGATCACTGGGTCCCTTCTCTATCCCCAGGCAGGGCTGCGGACCATTGAGGAGGAGGCAGCCCCGGAGATCCGTCGCACAGTCTCAGGAGACCTGGCCGCTGAGGAGGAGCTGGAGAGAGCCATGGTGGAGGCTGCGATGGAGGAGGGGATATTCCGGGTGAGGGAGAGCCAGGACCACTCCTAGCGGTCTAGACACCATGAGTGGCAATGTCCCACAGAGAGGAGGGCCAGGAGCCCAGCCACACAAGAAGGGGACACGGGAGCCAAAGAGACCCCTCTCCACCTCTCCACCTCACACCCATTCCTCCTGGGACTCAGAATCAATGACCTGACCTACTAGAGGTGTCAAATTCCACACACCCTTTCCCGCCTTTCCCTGCCCAATGTCACCCCTTCCCTTTCCTCCCCACCCACAAACCCTAGGCAACCACCCAGAGGCCTTCCAGGATCAAATGCCCCGCCTGCCTCCAGTGAGGCCTGTCCTCCATCCTTAGCTCTGTCTGTTGTTTCTTATCACACTGTAGAGCTGGAAGGTCTTCAGTGACACCGCGGTAGGTCTTTTTGGGTTACTCACGGGAAAATAGTAACCCACAGAGATCATGTGAGATGTCCAGTATCAACTAGTAAATTAGTTTTAGAGAGTGGACTAGAACCCAGTGCTGCAGACGCCTGATTCAGCCCTCACCCCTGCACCTCACTTCCCTTCTGTGTACGTGTGTCCCCTCCACCACACTTCCCTTCTGTGTGCCTGTGTCACCTCTAACTACACTTCCCTTCTGTGTGCCTGTGTCACCTCTAACTACACTTCCCTTCTGTGTGCCTGTGTCACCTCTAACTACACTTCCCTTCTGTGTGCCTGTGTCCCCTCCACCTCACTTCCCTTCTGTGTGCCTGTGTCCCCTCTCATCTCACTTCCCTTCTGTGTGCCTGTGTCCCCTCCACCTCACTCCCCTTCTGTGTGCCTGTGTCCCCTCCACCTCACTCCCCTTCTGTGTGCCTGTGTCCCCTCTCATCTCACTTCCCTTCTGTGTGCCTGTGTCCCCTCTCATCTCACTTCCCTTCTGTGTGCCTGTGTCTCTTCTATACCTCCTTAGGCATGTGCTGTCTGCCCCATGAACCAAAGCACTTTCTAAGGGTAGGGATTCTCTTATTTTGGTCTCACCGCTGCGTCCATCCTCCTCTGGCCTTATAAGAGTTGTCTCTCCAGACTATCACTTCTTCCCAACACCACTGTCCCAGAGTTACAGCCCCCCATGCCCTCCCTGTGTGCCTCCCTCATCCCCAAGTCACTGCTCTTCTCCTTGCCCCTAGAGGACCGGAGGCCTGTTTGGACAGGTGGACAACTTCCTGGAAAGGACCAACTCCCTGCCCCCCGTTATGGCCAATCAGCGACCCCTCCAGTTTTCTGAGATAGAGATGGAAGAGCTGGAGTCACCCGTCTTCTTGGAGGACTTCCCTCACGATCCACGCACCAATCCCCTGGCTCGTGCCAATACCAACAATGCCAACGCCAATGCTGCCTATGGCAACAGCAGCCACAGCAACAGCCATGTGCTTTCCAGGTAGTGGCGGCCACTGCCATCCCTGAGTGTAGACGTACTGGGATAGGACTGGGACGACAATGTTAGCAGGTTCCAGACTGGATTGGAAGAGGGTACCCCAAAGTCGTAGGGTGTCTTTTGCTTGCCTTTGTGCCCCATGCATCCTCAACCTGAATCTAAGAGGCCGCCCTGGATGGCAGAGGCTCCTTTGGCCAGCAGGGGGAAGCCTCACGTCATGTCAGTATCGGCCCCAATGCTGAGAGGGTCTTTAATTCCATGGTCCTCAGCAGGTCTAGGAGACGAGACCTATTGAGCACGTGATAGGTTAGGAGAGGACCTTTGGTGGCAGCACATACCACAAAAGACTGTGGACGATAAGGTTCCATCACTGGATTCAGGTCCCAGGGAGATCCCGCTGTGCTGTGTGGTCCCAATCTCATCAACCTTAGGCTATACCCTAAATATAATCTGTGATTATGGAAGTGTCATGGAAAACAGCAGAATGACGGGGAGAGCATCTCAGCAGTCATACCTTAGGGACTGGGCTCCAGGCAGAGCTTCTGTTCCAGACAGGAGGTCAGCGGATTGGGGGTCTCTCTGGCCTGGAAAGGCTAAGTCCCAGGCTTCAGGAACAAGCAAGACAGGGCAGTGGCAGCCGCTTCTCATGGCCAGGACTACCTGCACCCCTTCCAGTCACAGAGACCCTTTAAATTCAGCCCACAAGCCTTGAAGGGTGCATGCACCTTTGGGTTGCCATGATGCAAGGTGACGTGGAAATACAGAAGAGTCAGATCTGGGCCCTGCTCTGAGGGAGGTTGTAGTCTTGTTGGGTGATATATTATGTGATATGATAGGGACCAAATAATCACAGAGGCCAGGCATGGTGGCTCATGCTTATAATCCCAGCCCTTTGGGAAGCCAAGGTAGATGGGTCCCTTGAGGTCACGAGTTTGAGACCAGCCTGACCAACATGGTGAAACCCTGTCTCTACTAAAAATACAAAAAAAATTAGTCAGGTGTGGTGGTGCATGCCTGAAATCTCACCAGATAATCACAGAGGTTCGGTGTCCTGAGAATGCAGAGTGGGTATGGACCACCGTGGGCTGGAAAGACCTAGAACAGTTCTTGGCCTTGGCTGTACATTAGATAATCTATGGAGTGTCTGCAAATCCCAGTGCCTGGGCCTCACCACAGACGCGGGGTGTGGGACACAGCCAGCATTCATCTTTAGAGCACCTCAGGTGACCCTATGTGTGGTCAAGGTGGAGAAGCAGTATCCTAAAGGCCGGGAGGCTGCAGCTGGGCCTCGGAAGATGAAGAGACTGTGGAAAGGGCAGAGGGGGCCGCTGAGCAAAGGAGTGGAGTCAGGAATGCACTGGCCTCCTTCCTTCCAGAGAGTCGGCCGGCTGGGGCGCAGTGGTGGGAGTGCCAGCCTGGAGTCACGGTGACCGTACTAGGTTGGCCTTGCACAGACTCCGAGGGAAAAGGACGTTTGGGGCCACAGAGGGGCAGGGATGGCGAGAGAACTAGCAGCCTTCTCTGGTTCATCCAGCCTTCTTCCATTTCAGTGTCCACTATGAAATGGAGTTCCCAGAAGAGACAGAGACACCTGCTGCCAGAGGAGGAGCCCCTGGCCAGCCCTGCAGGGTCCTGGGTCAGTCCCTTCTGTGCATCTGAGAACCTTGGGTCTTCTCCCAGAGGGTTCTGAGAAGTTCCACTCTTTTCTTAGAGGCTGGGAACTTGCTCTGGGGGCTGTTACAGTAGCAACCATCTGGGCGCCCTGGGATGGGAAAACCATCAGAGCCAGCTCCTTGTCTGGGTGGCAAAGCTGGGCACCATCCAGGTGGCTGAGCGAGGTGGAAGGGGGAAAGCCTGTGCATGCTGGAAGGGCCCTCTGCAGCCTCCCAGGAAACTCACCCCGCCCCCTACACCATCCCCAGCACAGGAGTGTCCACACTGCCCCAGGTCCCTGGAAAGGCAGCCCCTGGACGCACTGGCATCTTGACTCTGGGGCCCTTCAGCAGACGATCTTGCAGTCACCTAGTATGCCCTTGACCACTGTGTGTCAGTAGGAGCCCCGGGGATGCTGGGTCTGGTGGCAATGGTACTGCTGTGTTCCCCAGCATACATTCTCTAATGTGCGACACCCAGGGACCACAGAGGACCAGCTTGGCCAGAGACCCTGGCCCTTATCCCCTCTCCCAGACGCTCAAGAACAGAGACCCGGGCCAGTAGAGTTGGGGCAGCCCTGCCTGGCCTGGAGTTGGCTGGGCCTCATTATGTGTCCATCCCCTAAGATACCTTCCGCAGCCCTGAGAATGTCGGAGAGCTCGCAGAGTTCGGCTAGCTGGCCAGGCGAGCCTCTACTGACTCGGGGCTCCTGGCAGAAAGTCAGCGGCCCCTCTTATCCTTGCCCCTTCTTGCCCACAGGACCCCACGGCAAACCCTGTGTGGAGAAGCTTCAGGGACTGCTGACCCAGAGGGCAATGCCCAGAGGCCAGGCACCTCCTAACCCCTGCCAGGTAACAGGGGCAGAGGCCTGGGAGCAAACTCCATACAGAGGCCCTGCCTGGCCTGATACTTGGAGTGGGACCGTGGCCAGGGAAGGCCGTGGCAGCAATGTGTCCAATGGATCGCTGCCTCCTCCCCTTTCTGTGGATCTTGGTTGATTTGCCCTCAGATGATCTGGAATTTTGCTCACTGGTGCGATCCAGCGCCCCCATGGGGGTCTTTGCTTTTGTGCATTTGAAACAGTGCCCCAGGGCGGAGTCCCCCAGGCCTGAGGACAGGAAGAGCTCCACAGCAGGGTCTCTGCAGGAGGAGACCCCCCACAGCAGGAGCGCCCCCCACAGCAGGAACAACACTTCGAGCTGTTCAGCGCCAGCTACAGCCCTGCTGATCCAAGAGGTGGGCCAGGGGCTGGGACACAGCAGTGGCTGCACTGAGCGGTGGCCCCTGTGACGGCCTGGCATGGAGAGAGCGGAGGGCCAACAGAGGTGGGTCCCCAGAGGTGGCTTCCCAGGAAGCCCCTGCCCAGCCTCCTCTCCTTCCTGCAGGCTCTGGTCCGAGGGGGCCTGGGCACCTTGGCGGCCGACGCGAACTTCATCATGACAACAGGCCAGGCCCTGGCAGATGCCTGCCAGATGGCACCGGAGAAAGTGGAGGTCCTGGCCACAGAGCTACTGAAAGGACGAGAGGCCCCAGAGGGCATGGCCAGCTCCCTGGGATCCCTGAACCTCGGGTCCTCCCTGGGCAGTCTCGACCAGCACCAGGGCTCCCAGGAGACCCTTATTCCTCCCAGGCTGTGAGGTCCACACAGCATCAGCATGGGCTTGGAGCTGGCTTGACCAATGGAGGTGGGGAGGTGGCTGGGGTGGAGACGGGCTGGCCCACCGCAGCCGCCTCCCTCCCTCTCAGCAGCTAGATGCATGGCCTGAGGCGGGGTGGTCAGGAACCACCTCAAAAAGTCGAGAGGAAGTAGCTGGACAGGTCCCGCCCCTCACCAGCAATAGGCGTGGTTGGATGGAGCGTTCTCATGTCATTCAAAAAGCCCTGGTCAGTGCCTGTGTGTGTCTGGCCCATGGCCACTCCCACCAGCAGGACATTAAAATCTCCAGGCCTGTGACACTGGCAACAGGACTCTGCTTGTCCCCTTTTTTGCACTCTTCTGCACTCACGCTTTCCCCTCCCCAGTCCCTTCCCTAGGAACCCTGCCCATGGGCTTGGGAGACTGGGCCAGAAAGAAAGACAGAGGGGCCATGTGCATTTTTTTCTGCATGAGGCAGAGAGGCACCTGTTGTGGGTTCTCCCGGAAGTCCACAGCCAAGTCCACTGACTGAGGCCCGGCAGCCCCAGGAAGGACTGGTGGCCTCAGACGCAGCCCCACGCCCCAGGTCCCACCACAGCCCAACATCTTCGAAGCTATGATCGTGTCTCACTGGCCAGAGTCCACTGCCGGCACAGCCTCTCAGAGCCCTCAGCTGCCCCGGTTTACGGCCTTGAATATCAAAGTTCTCCATTCTCCAGGGCTCCTCTTAGCCACGCCAGGTAACAATGAGTAACAGTGGCTGCTATTTACCAAGTGCCTCCCGAGTGCCACCTTCACACCGCTCTCACGCCAGGGGCCACAATTCGTTATGTTTACAAAGCACTGTCATTTACAATACTCATTCTACTGCCACCCCGACTGTGCGAGGTAGGTGCGGATTCCACGTTAAAGATGAGGCGATGGAGGCCCGCAGAGGCGACGGGACAGCCCTGGGGTGCGCAGCCAGAGGCAAGGTTAGGACTCCGCACCAGGCCCTCTCTGTCCCCGCAGCATCCTCCCCCTTCACTGGACTCTTTGCTCTTCTCACCATTCCCTCATTAAGCCTGTGCCAAGCGCCTAGTCTGTGGCTGTTGCTGTGGAAACCACACTGGCCTCCCCATGCAGCCTCCTGGCGAACCCCAGGCAGCTTCTGGGCTTCTCAGCCACTCCTAGGGTATCAGTCACGCAGGGCAGGAACACTCACACTCTCAATGCACTGTGCATTCCCGCCCCCAGCCTCAACCGGGCCCCAGTGCTTCCTAGTTCCTCAGTACAGCAATCTCAACTCCCTTCTCTCCTCAAACCCCAACACCAACAGCCAGCTTTGCTCCCTCCTCCACAAAAAAATAGAAGCTATCAGGAGGTTCCCATCTCAGCTCCTGTCCCCACACTGACGACCCCACCTGTTCCTGCTGTCTCATTCGTCTCCTTCCCTTCTGACCCAGTGGACGCCAGGTCTCTCCTCCTGCCAGCTCCTCAGATTCTACCCCAGCCCTTATCCTCTCTCTGCCTCTCCGCAGGCTCCTTCTAGCTGCATGGAAAACATTCCAGGTGCCTACTTCGTAGCAGACTGACCCTGCAGCCATCCTATTTCTCTCTCCCTCTCTTTCCATCCATCCATGCATCCATCCATGTATCCATCCATCATCTATGATCTATCATCTGTCAACCTATCTCTTTCCATTATTGAGGGCCAAACTTTTTTTTTTTTTTTTTTTTTTTTTGAGACAGGGTCTCAATCTAGCACCCAGGCTGGAGTGCAGTGGCACAAACAGCTCACTGTGACCTCCACATACTGGGTTCAAGCGATTCTCCTCCCTCAGCCTCGTGAGTAGCTGACTGCAGGTGTGCACCGCCATGTCTGGCTAATTGTTGTATTTTTAGTAGAAACGGGATTTCACTATGTTGGTCAGGCTGGTCTCGAACTCCTGACCTCAAGTGATCCGCCTCAGCCTCCCAAAGTGCTGGGATTACATACAAGTCTGCGCCACTGCGCCTGGCTGAGGATCAAATTTCTTACCTGGGTGGTCTTCTTGTCCACACCTCTATTTCTCCTTCCGTTCCCATTTCTCCCTTCCAGGCAATCCACCTCCGCTCCATCCCTTCTCTGAAACCATGCTCACTTGAAGGCAGCATGAGATACAATTTACCCCTCTCCCTGCCTGAAATTCCCCCCAAGTGCCAGATCTCCACTGGAGTGTTCCAAGTTGAAGCTTCTTTGGAGTTCCCCCTTGGCCCACTGGCCTCTCAGGTAGACTCTGTCTCCTTGACCCTCTCTTCTGATGCGGTACACGTTCATATCTTAGTTGCATGTATGTGCCGATAATTCCAAAATCCGTATTTCTATTCCACATCTCTCCTAAGCTCCAGATCTCCGTATTCTGCGCCTCCCAGACAACTCTGCATAGATGTCTCACTTGTGCCTAATGCTCGCTTTGTCCAATGGTGGCCTCTTACCCTTTCCCCAAAGCCTGCCTCGTCTGGTGTTGCCCGTCTCCAAGAAGCCCACTCCTTATTCAAACCAGAAGTCTGGCAGCTGATCAGGACGCCTACCTGCCCCTCCCGCTGTGCCCCGCGGATTCACCCTCCAGCACCTCTCACACCTGTCTCCCTTCCCTTCATCCTCGAAGTCACTCTCCCGATACACTCACCATCATCTCGTGCTTCCTCCATTGTCACAGCCTTTGAACAGGTCTCCCAGCCTCCTCTCTTTTCTCTTCCTCCCCATCTGTCTCTGATCTTTCTAAAAGGAAGAACCGATCATCTCATTTCCTTGCTGAAAACATTTATTGGCACCCCCAAAGCCCTCTGAATAGCAAGCAAAATCCTTGCCTGGGCTCACAAGCCTCTCCCAGGTCAGACCCTGTACAAGTCTCCTGCTCACCCTACCCAGAGGGAACTCTCACCTCTGAGCTCGCGTGTGCCGTCCTGAGCCCTCCACCTGACTGACGTCTAGTCACCCTTCAAACCTCAGCTTTGCTATTGCTTCCTGAAGAAGGCTTTCCCTGAACACCCCCAAATGCTCTGTAGCCTGGCCCAGGAATTTGGCCACCATCTCTCCTCCATTACGGTAGGGGTTGTAACTGTGTTGTAACTGCTTGTTTATTTTTATCCCAGCCAGACACCAAGCTCCACAAAGCAGGAGCTGTGTCCACCTTGTTCACAGTTCTCTCTCTGGGGCTGAGCACTTTTCAACAGAGATTGCTGGCTCTATGTTGCTTGTTAAATAAATGCAGGAAAGAGCTATGGGGCGTGGACCCTGCCCGCAGCAGGCTCTTTGCCCAGTATCACCTGCTCAGCTCTGCAGCCTCAGCTGCTGTGGCTGTTCCATCTATACCAAAAGGAGGCAGCGGGGAGGGGCTCTGCCTCTGGAGGGTGACCAGCTAGACTCCACGGTGCAGCTCCCACAGGCAGGAGGGAGCACTCCACACCCCACAGCTACGCACACTGTCTCTTGTTCAATTGGCTCATCTCCATGGGAGACAAGGTAATATGGAACATAAGGGTATGTTGTAAAGTTCTAGAAAAGGGCATTCTTATTTATGAGGGACCTGAATATCTTTTTTTTTTTTTTTTTTTTTTGAGACGGAGTTTCGCTCTTGTTACCCAGGCTGGAGTGCAATGGCGCGATCTGGGCTCACTGCAACCTCTGCCTCCTGGGTTCAGGCGATTCTCCTGCCTCAGCCTTCTGAGTAGCTGGGATTACAGGCACGCGCCACCATGCCCAGCTAATTTTTTGTATTTTTAGTAGAGACGGGGTTTCACCATGAATATCTTAAATTAATGCCTACCACATATAGGATGCTAACTAGGGCTACACACAGTGGCTCACACCTGCAATCCCAGCACTTTGGGAGGCAGAGGTGGGAGGACTGTGTGAGGCCAGGGGTTCGAGACCAGCCTGGGAAATGTAGCAAGATTCCTGTCTCTACACACAAACACACACACACACACACACCGCATGGTTGCACGATATGAAAAGCCTAGCTGCTTGGGAGGTTAGGATGAGAGACAGTGCTATTTACTCCAGCCTGAGTGACAAAATGAGACCCTGTCTCCAAAAAAAAAGCTAGCTATATGGCAGGCCCTCTTCCAAGGGTTTTGCATATATTAATTTATTTAATCCTCTTAACAATTAAGAAAGGTATCATCATCCTCACTTTGCAAAAATGACACAGAGAGGGCCTGGTGCATTGGCTCATGCCTGTAATCTCGGCACTTTGGGATGCCAAGGTGGGTGGATTACGTGAGCTCAGGAGTTCAAGACCAGCCTGGCCAACATGGTGAAACCCTGTCTCTACTGAAAATACAAAAAAATTATCTGAGCGTGATGGCACACGTGTAATCCCAGCTACTTGGGAGACTGAGGCAGGAGAATCACTTGAACCGAGGAGGCAGAGACTGCAGCGAGCTAAGTTCACACCATTGCACTCCAGCCTGGGCGACAACTGCAAAACTCAGCCTCCTCGAAAAAAAAAAAAAAAAAAAAAAAGACCGAACAAAAGTCACTTGCCTAAAGCCACACCGCTCGCAAGAGAGCCAAGGTGGGAGTCAAACCCAGGCAGTTTAGCGCCCCGTTCCACGTCCTTGACTGTGCACCATTCGGCAAATCTATGCTGTCCCTCCCGGCCTGACTAACAGATACACGTGTAAACGCAGGCTCTGAGAAACTTTCCTATTAGGTCTTCACCCTATGGAAAAGTTCAGGCATTTTCCTTTGCAACATATAAGATGTTGTGATTTATCAGAATGCACAAAATCCTACCTCTGCACCCGCTTCGCTTGAAGTAATAGGTGGGGTTCCCCTTACAGGGCTGCCAGGCCACTCACATAAAGGCTGAAAGGAATAAACTGTGGCAGGATGAGGGCTGAGGTGGGAGGGAGGAGGAGGGGCAGATACAGAGAAGACAGACACCCCTCAGCAGGACTCCCTGACAGAGACAGTGTACCCCTAGGAGCAGGTGGGCCCCCTTCTGTCACCTGGGGACACTGGCCAGGGACAGTGTCTGCCAGACCCCTGTCTTCTCCCTGACAGTTCCCTGCAGACATGGGGCCCAGCTGCTGGATAAGGGGATGTGCCAGAGGGATGGGTTGTGGCTGGCAGGAGGGGTAGACACAAAGCCCTGTGCTGGGGCTGTGGAGACTGAGGGACCCCTCCATCTGGGGGGCCCAGAGCTCAGCTGGAGAGAAGGTGGACAAGGGTGGGTCCCAGTGCCAGTCCGTCTTCAGAATAGGGAGGAGCTCCCTGGCCTGAGGAACTCCTGCCGAGTTGCCTCTCCTGGTGCCTAAGGCAGGGAGGTGCCCAAGTCCCCTCCCGCTATGTCCATGTTGA